GTAAATCAATGTCTAAATTGAGAGAAGAGCTAAGCATGATGGCAGAGGCCTATAAACCCAACTACTCCAGAAGCTAAGACAGGAGGTTCACAAGTTCAAGGCCAACCTGGACAACTTAGCAAGACCCTATCTCAAAACAAAAAACTATAAGGGCTGGGGAATGTCACTTAATGCTAAAGCACCTTAGGGTTTAATTCCCATTAAGGAAAAAATAATAATAATAAAATAAATTTTTACCAGAGTATGTTTATTCTCTTAATTGAAAGCTCACAGTTGTATTAAACCAACAAACAGTTGCTGTGGATTTAGCTCAGTGTGAGCACCTGCCTAGCATCCATGATGCCTGGGTTCAATCCCTAGCATGCCAAAAAAAAATTAAATTAACATCAACCAATGGGAGCCCTTTACACACATTAGAAGCAAAAACTACTATGGTTTAAACAGGTTTTGACTTCCAGCTTTCCCACACTTACTGAAAAGCAGCACGTATGATTTAGCATGGGCAAAGAGTCACGAGAGGAATTTTTTCTAGGTTGACCAAAGTAAAACTCCCCAATATCCAGTAAATGATTAGAAAAAGTGACTGACTGGTGGTAAGTGTAGATAAAGCAATGGCTAACAGTCACCAAAGTCTACAAAAGATAATTAAGAAGGCAGGGGGAAAAAAGCTAATTATGAATATTTAAAGGTATTTTACAAATGAAAACAAAAACTAAACTACCTGACTTCTGCTATCACATTTGGGAAGTAATGAATCATAGCTTTTAGGTCATAGGCTTTGAATTTAAACTCAGCTAATCTTTAACTTCTAGTTCCAACTTTTACAAGCACTATGAACTTACCACCTACGAAAGAAGGTAATTTCTACCTGGTAGTATACATCAGCTGGGATAATGTGTATATAAATCTCTATACTGAGAGCTCAATCAATACACCAGAATAAGCTTTTTTTCCCAGGATAAGCTTATTTGCCTCCTAATTCATGAAAGAGTACTTAAAGAATATACTACTATAATAGTATAAAACTAGTCAAAAGAAAATTCCATCAAGAAAAGATTATTCAAGCCCCTCAAAACACAATCTTAGCATAAGGAGGAATGAAGAACTTTAAATTGTTCAGAAATAAATACAAGTTAACTTTAAAACTATTAAAAGTAACACCTGTAATTACAACCAAACAAGTAGGCAGTTAAAGCAACCTGAGTCCCACCAAAGGAATGTGCTCAATCCAGTCAGCACCCCTAATCACACAAGACTCGAACTTCTTGTTAAAGCTATAGCTTCCTTTTTGTCTTCAACTCTGTCAACAAACAGCATATGGAGCAAATGAAATCTCTATTAATAAATAAACACCTCCTTTACAAAATCCTTTCCTCTAATCATGACCAAGAAGTATTGGTAAGTTTAAAAAAAAAAAACTGCCAGATCTTGAGTCTTTTGTCTACACCTTTTAAATATGTTTTTAGGGCAGTGGTAGTGTGCTTGCCTAGCATGAGTGAGGCATTGGGTTTGATTCTCAGCACCACATATAAAATAATAATAATAATAATCCATAAACAACTAAAAAAATTTTAAGTATTTTTTTAGTTGTAGATGGACAGAATACCTTTATCTTATTTACTTCTTTTTATGTGGTGCTGAGGATAAAATCCAGTGATGTGTGAGGCAAGCACTCTGCCACTGAGCCACAATCCCAGACCCTGTCTACACCTTTGGCATACTTAAATTATCTAAAAAACATTGCAGGGCCTTGCAAAACAACTAATAGCAAAAGAGGGGAAGGGGGTAAAGCTCAGCAGTAGAGCACTTGCATAACATGTTTAAGATCCTCAGCTGGAGGAGGAGGAGGAGGATGATTCTGTGCCTTTACAACATAAAGCCAATCTTTAAAAAAAAAAAAAAAAAAAAAACCCTAAACCATATGACAACTATTGATAAGAATAAAGGGCCAGGCATGGTGGCACATGCCTATAATTCCAGCAGCTCAGGAGACTGAGGCAGGAGGATTGTGAGCTGAATGTCAGCCTCAGCAACTTAGCAAAGCCCTAAGCAACTCAGCGAGACCCTTTTCCTAAACAAAACATTAAAAAGGGCTAGAGATGTGGCTCAATGGTTAAGCACCCCTGGGTTCAATCCCCAGTACTATTAAAAAAAATGTGTGTGCGTATATATATATATATATATATATATATATATATATATATATACGCACACACATTTTATATATATATGAATGATTTATGAACAATTAGAATAAAGGACGAAAAGGTAATCACAAGTGATTTATGAAGTAATAATTTTTTAACTGAAAATGTTAAAGAATTATGTAGTCAATGTGATTGTTATATACTAATCCCTATGGCATTAAGGCCAAATTCTATAGTGAAAAGCATCTTAATGTCTATTAAATATAAGGTAATATGTTTACTTATAAATCTTCTAGGAAGAAACCATAATTCCCCAAAAAAACTAACTTTTTAAATAGGAAAAATTTCACACACACACACACACACTCACTAACACACAGTGTCAAGCAAGTTTGGTAACTACATTTATTAAAGATATGAATTCAAATTTTATTGGCCAAAAGTCTCGAGCAGCAAAAGAATTGCACAACAGATTCACCCATCTAATGGGGAGATATAATATTTAGGTCATGCCAAACATATAACATATGGAAGACATATGAGATAAGCCAAAATACATGGTCCTTACTACATCTCACTGAGCTGTGTTGCTCCCCAGTCTCTCCCACTTTTACATTTTACTTTTTGTCATGCTAGAACACACACACAACTCAGGAGGCAAACCAGGATCATTATTTTGCAGTGTAAAATATTTACCAAAATACAAATGGAAGCCAGGCATAGTAGCACACATCTATAATCCCTGTGCCTTTGCAGGCTGAGGCAGGAGGATCACAAGTTCAAAGCCAACCTCAGCAACTTAGCAAAACTCTCTCAAAAAATAAATAAATAAAAGGGCTGAGGATGTGGCTTAGTGGTAGAGCACCCCTGGTTCAATCTCCAGTACAAAAAAAAAAAAGCCATAAACTCCTGCTCAGATTTCATCAAAAGGAATTTTTCCTACATAGATACCCAGATATAGAGAACAACCTTTGTGCAAGTTCACTACCTCATTGTTTTAGTATGAAAAATATGGACACTTAAAGTATTTTCATCAATAAGGAACAAGTCATTAGAGAATATTCAAATAACAGAATTATTATGTACCTATAAAAGTCTGTGTAGGGGATGGGGTAGAGTACTTGCCTGGCATGCATGAGGACCTGCATTTAATGATTCCCTAGCATCCAATTAAGAAAAATTGTCAATGAAGAAGTTCTCTAAATACTGACATTATGAATAAAAACAGTAAGATTCAGAACAAAAATGAAAGAAATATATTATATCTATTTTATTTATATAAAATATAGCTGTAAGAATACATCACAAATTACAATTCCTTGTTGCCTCAGGTTAGGGGAAATAGAGGATCAGAGCAGAAAGAAATTTGTTGACACTTTTCTACCTATTGAATTTTGTACCATGTCAAGTTTTAACTGATGCAAAATGTATTTATGTATGTATGTATTATGGTAACAGAGATTGAACGCAGGGGTACTTAACTACTGAGCCACATTCTCAACCCTTTTTTTTTTTTCATTTTATTTATTTATTTTTGGTACTGAGAATTTAATACAAGGGTGCCTGACCACTGAGCCACATCCCCGGCCCTTTTTGTTTTTTATTTTGAGACAGGGTCTCAAAGTTGCTTAAGCCAGCATTAAGTTGCTGAAACTGGTTCTAGAACTTAAAATTCTCCTGCCTCAGCCTCCCAAGCACTGAAAAAAATATGTATTTTTTTGTTTTGTTTTGTTTTTTAACTTTTTTTAGTTGTAGATGGACACAATATCTGTATTTTATTTATTTATTTTTATGTGGTGCTGAGGATTGAACCCAGTGCCTCACACATGTGAAGCAAGCGCTATACCACTGAGCTACAACCCCAGTCCTTTTTTTTTGATAACAAGGTACCTTTGGGTTCAGTCGACTCCAAGGGTGCCTAACCACTGAGAAACACTTTTTCACTTTTTTAAATTTTGAGACAGGGTCTTGCTAAGTTACCTAAAGCCTCACTAACTTGCCAAAGCTGGCTTCAAACATGTGATCCTCCTGCCTCAGCCTCCTGAGATGCTGGGATTACAGGCATACAGCACTGTCCCCAGTATTAATATACTTTTTTTTTTAAGAGAGAGAGAGAAAGAGAGAGAGAGAGAGAGAATTTTTTAATATTTATTTTTTAGTTTTCAGTGGACACAACATCTTTATTTTATTTTTATGTGGTGCTGAGGATTGAACCCAGCACCCTGCACATGCCAGGCAAGCGCACCACCGCTTGAGCCACATCCCCAGCCCCAATAAATATACTTTTAATGGTTGCTAATTTTTAAAAAATAATAAAACCCCACCTAGCATGGAAATACATGCCTGTAATTCCAGCTACTTGGGAGACTGAGGCAGAAGGATCAAAAATTTGATGCTAGTCTTAGCAACTTTTAGTCTTATCAACTTGGTAAGATTATCTCAAATAAAAATTGAGACAGTTGAAAAGCAGTAGACTTGCGTGCTTGAGGCCTTGGGTTTAATCCCCAGCACTGCAAAAAAGAAAAAGAAGAAAAAAAATTTCCACAAGCCTCAGTTTACTCTTGAGCATAGCAGGACAAATAATAAATAATAATAACCCCTTCCTAATAAGGTACCAAGAAGAAAAATGAGATCTTGCATTTGATTTGCACTCTATTAACCATTTAGAGTATCTTTGATATGCCACTTGCCCCTCATTCCTAATTCCTTGTATTACATTGTACAAATGACAATGTCTTGGGAACTGCTTGTAAAATAAATGGATGAGACCTTAATAAAAGTATAAAATTACCTCCATATAAGCTAACATGCTGTGATGTTTTGTTTTGGGGATTCAACCACCTGCATACTTACAGGGATGCTCCAGACCTGCATTCCATCACTGTAGCCAATCATAACCAGCAGTGGTGGCTCATTCCCAGTGCTATGTATTTCATGAAATTCCAGATTTCTTGATGTATCTGTAGTAGAATTAAGAAAACACAATTAAACAATATAAATCTAGAAAACAACTGTAATGTTATTAATGTGATAATTATTTAAATTTTCTAATTCAAGAGCAAGCAGAAGTAAATAGAGTACATTATTTATTTATTTATACACTGGGGATTGAATCCAGAGGTGCTTTACAACTGAGCTACATTCATTTTTTATTTTGAGACAGGTTCTCACTAAGTTGCTTAGGCCTTGCTAAATTGTTGAGGCAGACCTCAAATTTATGATCCTCCTACTTCAGCCTCCAGAGTTGCTGGGATTACAGGCGTCCATCATGACCAGTCAGAAGGCACTATTTAAAAAACAATGAACAAGGGTTGGGGCTGTAACTCAATACTTGCCTAGCATGTGTGAGGTACTCAGTTCGATCCTCAGCACCACAGGAAAAAATAAATAAATAAAAGCATTCTGTCCATTTACAACTACAAAAAAAATTTTTTTAAAGAAAACAATGAACAAGAAGTTAAAATTGGAAAACCAGAAGGTTGTTTTGTTTTGTTTTGTTTTGTTTTTCTATTTCAGTACTGGATATTGAACCCAGGGCCTCACGTAAGCTATACAAACCCTCTTCTATTGAACTGTATCCCCAGTCTTGTTTACTTTGGGGACAGAGTCTCCCTAAATTGCCCAGGCTGACCTTGAACTTGGGGTTCTCCTACCTTAGGCTCCAGACTCCCTATGATTATAGACTTGCAACAACAGGCCTGCCCTGTAGTGACCATTGCTAATTTTTAAAAAATAATAAAACCGGGGCTGGGGATGTGGCTCAAGTGGTAGCGCGCTCGCCTGGCATGCGTGCAGCCCGGGTTCGATTCTCAGCACCACATACAAACAAAGACGTTGTGCCCGCCGATAACTAAAAAATAAATATTAAAAAAAATTCTCTCTCTCTCTCTTTAAAAATAATAATAATAATAAAGCTTTAAAAAATAAATTAATAAAATAATAAAACCCCACCTAGCATGGTAGTACATGCCTGTAATTCCAGCTAGTTGGGAGACTTAACCATTATCATACCACAGATAAAGTCTTTCACTACACAAACTGGAAATCTCATGTTGCCAAAGACCTATTTATACCTGAACTATTTTCTTCTCATTCCGAGCAATTACAGTTGTCTTTCTTTTGGTCTAAAGTAAATCCATCCATTGAGCTTTGAATCCCAAAGCAAATTCTACTGCTCCATTCCTTATTACATTAAAATGAAGAGTTTCTGTTAATCATAAGCCACTGTCATCAGAAGAATGAAAAGGCAAATCCCAGTTTAGAAGAAGAGCACCCACAATGATTCACCAAGAACATAAGATTAAACCTTAAAATCAGGGCAGAGGGGCATCACAGTAATCCCAAATACTTAGAAGGTCAAGATGGGAGGATTGAAAGTTCAAGAGCTGCCTTGGCAACTAAGGAAGATCTAGTCTCAAAATTTAAAAACAATTGTTAAAAGTGCTGGGGACGTGGCTCATCGGGAGAGTGCTGCCTGTGAAGGACAAAGACCTGGGTTCAATCCCCAGTACTGCAAAAAAAATTAAAAATAAAATGAAAAATTTAAAAAGAAAGTTCTCTAACACATTCTAATCTCCAAAAAGCAAAAAAAAAATATATATTTCTCAAGAAAGAAAGTTGATAAGAGTATATAATATGAGATAGGTATTATTAAATGAAAGTTATAGAGTGTCATTGTTTTGGACTAAGCTCCTTCTCTAGCCCCCAACAGCTTCGACTTAACACCAAAGTGGAGTCATTCATACTACCATTCACAATACCAAAACAGAACTCCTATCTGATCACACTGGCATGCAGGAGAGAGAGAGATAATGGCCAAATTCCCCAAACAGGCCAGTTTCAGTTGGTATGAAAATAAAGTTCCCTATCCTTTAATCCTTATAAAAAAAATTAACCTGAAGTAACCTGATGTTAATCAATTATTTTCTATTGTTCTATTACCCCATTCCAACTTACAAGGAAAGTAACTTTGAAGTGATCAATTCCTTTTTTGCTGTTTTTGCTTTCTTCAACCCTTTTGTCTATAAAACCAACTTCCTCTGCTCCACCCACTTAAATGTTTATTCTGTTTTGTGGAATAAAGTATTGTCTGATTCTAGAATCAAAAAAATAAAGCCAACTGGGCTGAGGACATAACTCAGGGTAGATGCTTGCTTAGCATGCATGAAGACCAGGGTTTGATCCCCATACTACAAAAAATAAAATAAAATAATAAAGCCAACTTATACTGTTAACCTAAATTATTATAATGTTGTCTGTTACAAATATTAATAATGAAGGAAAAAGAGAGAAAGACAAGTCATATTCTAATAAGGAAGGAATCCAATAGAAAATCATAAAAAGAATAAAATTAAAAATATAATAAGATTTCAAAGAGATGGGGTTGGGGAAGCACTTCCCTAGCAAGCACGAGGCCCTGGATTTATACACACACACACACAGCAGACTGGAGTTTAATACTAATTTCGGTTATTTGAATGTTCCAAAATAAAAAAGCATGTCTAAAAATATTTGTCATTGATATCATAAATTATCATCCATAAGTGTTTTGTTATTCACAAAGAAGGGTCAAGAAGTTGATATCATGTGAAAGAACAAGCTAATAGAATTCAAAATTAAGTAAACTCAGTCTCTAAAAGTGACTTTCATCCTTTCTCATCCTGAACCATAGCTCCACAAGGAAAATAAGGCAAAACATACTAAGTCTTAGAGGATAAAGCAACCCAAAGAATAGGAGAAAATATTTACAATTCACATATCTTATAAGGAATTGATAAACAGCATATACAGAGAACACTGGGGGAAATTTTCAAAAATGGGCAAAGGACTTCAATAGACATTTCTACAGATATAGTAGTATCCTCATAGCTGCCTAAAACCACAGACAGTTAAAAAAAAATACCAATAATTTATTTTCCAAATTAACTAAGCATTTATCATGCACTATGGTCATACTGCTATTTGCAATATGAGACCAAAATTAATAAAAAATTTTCCTTCTGCAAAATTTCACACATAGATTCATTCTTAGCAATTTCGGCATACCTTTTTCTTCCCTTATTAACTCAAGATCTTTCACTTAAAGGAAGCAGTTTATGGCTTCTCTTTTGCCTCTCTAAATTGCCAGCATCACTACTCTTGCTTATTGGGACATTAGTTAAGTAAAATAAAAGTTACTAGAAACAAACACTGCAGTACTGCAACCACTGATTTGATAACCAAGAAGACTACTGTGTGAATAACAAGCTTGTAGCATGTATAAAGAGGATATACTGTCCAATATATGATTCATATTCCAGGAAGAACAGAGTAGGAAAGAGCACAAACCCACAAGATTTCATCAGGCAACTCAGAACAGTGTGCAATTTAAAACTTGTGAATTGTTTAATTCTTAAATTTTCTATTTAACATTTTCAGACCATAGCTAATTGAAGATAGATGAAACCATGGAATGTGAAATCCTGAATAACAAGGGACTGGTGTATACTACTGACCAATAAGTAAATGAAAAGATACTTAAAATCACTATGCATTAGGGAAACATAAATCAAAACTACAACTCACATCTCCAAGGACAGCTAATACATAAAGTAATAATAATAATGCCAAGTGTTGAAAAGTATGTAGAGGGGCTGGGAGTGTAACTCAGCTACTTCAGACACTAAGGCAGAAGGATTGCGAGTCTGAGATCAGCTTAGGCAAGACCTTATCACTAAATAAAAAAGGCTGGGAATACAGCTCAATAATAGAGCACTTGCCTAGCAGAAGCAAGGCCCTAATTTCAATCCCCAGGACCACAATAAACAAACAAAGATAAAAAAACAGATGTGGAGGGGCTGGGGTTGTGGCTCAGTGGCAAGAGTGCTTGCCTAGCATGCGTGAGGCATTGGGTTCAATCCTAGCACCACATAAAAATAAAAACAAAGAAAAGAAAGGTATTGTGTCTATCTAAAAAGAAAAAATTCAAAGAAAAAAAAAGGATGTGGAGAAGCATCATCAGTAGGAATAGAACATCATACAGTCATTGTGGGAAATAGTAAAGCAGATCCCCAAAATTTAAAAATGGAATCACCATGTGATCCAGCAATTCTTCTGAGTATATATATACCTGAAAGAACTGGAGCACAAAGAGATATTTGCACACCAATGCTCACAGCAGCATTATTTACAACAGGCAAAACATGGAAGCAATCCAAGTATCTACTGAAAAATAAATGGATCAAAAACTGTGGTATTATCTGGTCTTAGTAGCATACACCTATAATTTAAGCTACTTGGGAGACTGGGACAGAAGTATTGCTGAGCCCAGGAGTTCAAAGTCAGTCTTGGCAACAGAACAAGGACCCCATCTCAAAAAAAAATAAAATAAAATAAAAAAGTAGTATGTAAATACAATGCAATGAAATGTTAAACTCCTTAAAAAGGAATTCTGACACCAGGCGCAGTGGCACATGTCTGTAATCCCAGCAGCTCAGGAGGTTGAGGCAGGAGGATCACAAGCTCAAAGAGAGCCTCAGCAAAAGTGAGGTGCTGAGCAACTTAGTGAAACCCTCTCTCTAAATAAAATACAAATAGGGCTGGGGATGTAGCTCAGTGGTGGAGTACCCCTGAGTTCAATCCCCAGTAAACCACCCCCGCAAAAAAAGGAATTCTGACATATACTACAACATGAATGAACCTTGAAGATATTATGCTATATGAAATAAGCCAGTCACAAAAAAGGCAAATATTATTTGATTCCACACATATAAGGTACCTAGAGTAGTCAAAATCATACCAAGTAGAATAGTGATTGACAGGGGATGGGGAATTAGGAGAATATAGAATTATTTTTTAATGAATACTGTTTGTTTTATAAGATGAAAATGTTATGGAGACTGATGGTGGTGATGGCTATACAACAAACATTATGTTTTTCATTGTTGTTTTTTGAGACAGTCTGGCTGTGTTACCCAGGCTGGCCTAGAACTAATAATCCTTTCTCTTCTGTCTCCTGAGTAGCTGGGATTACAATTATGTGCCACTGCACTCAACTTTTATGAATGTTTTTAATACCACAGAACTATACACTTAAAAATGATTAAAGTGAGCCAGGCGTGGTGATGATCACCTGTAATCCCAGTGGCTCAGGAGGCTGAAACAGGAGAATCACAAATTCAAAGCCAGCCTCAGCAAGGCAAGGCGCTAAGCAAATCAGTGAGACCCTGTCTCTAAATAAAATATAAAACAGGGCAGGAGGTGTGGCTCAGTGGTTGAGTGCCCCTGAGTTCAATCCCCAGTACCAAAAAAAAAAAAAAAGATTAAGATGGTAAATCAGGGGCTAGAGTTGTGGTTCAGCGGTAGAACACTTGTCTGGCATGTGTGAATCACTGGGTTCAATTCTCAATACCATATATAAATAAAATAAAGGTCCATCAGCAACTAAAATACATACATATATATTTTTAAAAGATTGTAAACAATAGCATATATCCATTTTATCACAATTGAAAAAAAACTAGAGGGTGGGGTTGTGGCTCAGTGGTAGAGTACTTGCCCAGCATGTGTGAGGTACTGGGTTCGATATTCAGCACCACAAAAAAAAATACATAAACAAAATAAAGGTATTGTGTCCATCTGCAATTAAAAAAAAACAAACCTAGAAACAAAAAGTCTTAAGGAAATAAAAACCCAAGATATGATATTAGTAAATTCCCAAACAGGAAATTAAAATAATTTATTATATTTTAAAATGCAAACTTAATGCAGACAACAGATTATACTGGTGATAAAAGAGCTGAGAGGCCATCTATGGAGCTGTGAGGCAACCTATTCAATGAGCAACAATAGAAAGCCATCACTACCCCTTGGCTAAGGGTGGAGTGCAAGGTGGCAGGTCACTTGGCAGAAACTGGAATGCAGGTAGGTTGTCCAGGGGAGACTAAAACCACAGAGGAAAAACCACAGAAATGGGTGAAGCACTGGCTTCAATCCTCAGCACCACATAAAAATAAAATAAAAGTGTGTCCACCTACAACTAAATAAATAAATAAATGAAACAAAACAACAACAACATATATATGTAATATATATTGTTGCACAAATATATACAAATATACACATTATAGATAATTGAATATCAACAAAATAGCTGCAACTTTTTTGAAATTTTATAGTTATGAAAGACTGGAAAATACATAGAGGGGCAGGCAGCCCCCTTGTGAAAAAGAGTGGGAAAAGGCAATGAATGAAAACAGACATTGGACTAACAAATTCTGCTCAGACAAAAATAATTTTAAAGTCTAAAAAGTTCAACATTTTTGCAAATGATTAGTTTGCAGTTATAAATCCTACAAAATTGATCGAACTTGAATTACAACATCTTTCCTAAGAAAATCTTAATTCACTTGAATTTAAGTTTGAGGCTACACATTGTGTTAAACTTTAAGACTTGTACAATATATATTTGTTCTAAAGAAATTTCTGTAGTGTGGGTGTTACCTTTTAATTAAAAATGAATTCATTTTGAAAGCCAAAAAGTTACTATAAAAGAAAATAATTGGACTACAGTAAGAGTTCTCTTTCTGGGATCTGGTCAACCCCAAACAAACATTTAATTCACATATTCCAAAAAAGTTTAAATCATACCATTTAAATCTGCATTTTCAAATCTGACCCAGACTATTTTCTCCTTTTCTTCTGTTAAAGATGTTCCACTGTAAGCCTGTATAGTAAACAGAAATGTTTAAATAAAAATGTTTTACAGCTCTATTACTGATGTTCAGTAAAATCAATTCTATCCCTCTCCAACTGCACTAATCCTCTATCTTGGTAACTAACACATTTTAGAATATTATTACTCTGATGGATATTCATAAAGAAGTCTAATGACTTTGGTTAAAAAGATAATTTTTGACTAATTAAAAAATTGCAGACACCTAAAAATATAATCATCACAATCTGTAAGAAACAACTCACAGGCACAAAAAAAACTAAAATACCACCTGTATTGGTCAATGAATAAGGCTTAAAACTACCACCTTTATATAATTCATCCCTCGGTGCTTTTTCTCAGACAATTACACAATACCTACAGCTCTCAAGAGTATTATTTTTTTCACCTGTTATCTGGCTTCTAGATCCAACCTATCAGCTAATTCTTACAAGCCTGCAAGGATCACAAAGATAAATATTAAGGGCTAACAAGTGTGGATAATACTTATCAGTATTTAAAAGGATTCATCTCTTCATAAAGCATGTTTGTATTTTAAATTTTTTAAATCGCATAGAGCAGGGCTCCAGTGCATACGCCTGTAATCTAACTAATCAGAAGCCTGAGGCAGGAGGATCACTTCAGCCCAGGAGTTCAGGCCAGCCTGGTCAACACAGCAAACCCTGACTCAAAAAATAAAACAAGGGGAGCTAGGGATGCAGCTCAAGTGGTACTGTGCTGGCCTGGCATGCGCAAGGCACTCAATCCTCAGGACCACATAAAAAATAAATAAATAAAGATATTGGGCCACCTAAAACAAAAAAATAAATATTTAAAAAATAAAACAAGGTTCTGGGGTTGTCGCTCAGTGGTAGAGCGCTCGCCTAGCACGGGTGAAGCACTGGGTTCAATCCTCAGCACCACATAAAAATAAAATAAAAGTGTGTCGGGGCTGGGGATGTGGCTCAAGTGGTAGCACACTCTCCTGGCATACGTGCGGCCCGGGGTTCAATCCTCAGCACCACATACAAACAAAGATGTTGTGTCTGCCGAAAACTAAAAAAATAAATATTAAAAATTCTCTCTCTCTCTCTCTCTCTCTCCCTCTCTCTTAAAAAAAAAAGTGTGTCCACCTACAACTATATAAATAAATAAAACAACAACATATATATGTAATATATACTGTTGCACAAATATATACAAATATACACATATAGATAATTGAATATCAACAAAATAGCTGCAACTTTTTGAAATTTTATAGTTATTTAGTGTGCAGAACAATTATTTAATATAAGCTGCACCAAAAGCATACAAAAATTACTAACCCATACAAATTTACAGCACTTCCTCTTAGAAATTTAAGTATCCATAGTATACCAATTTAACACCAATTTACATATCCACACTATACCACACAAGGCTAATGGTGATCAAAAATACCACTAAAAGACAGGGTTACCTTAATAGATTTACTATCCAAAATAATTACCTTACAAATTCATACAATTTCAATCGTCTTTTTGAAAAAGGAAAACATACGAAGGGACCAAGGTTTAGCTGAGTGGTAATGTGCTAAGCCCTGGGTTTAATCCCCAACACCAAGAAAATAAAAATAAAAACAAGTGGTATGTATAAACAGTTAATTTCTTGAAAGAAGAGAAAAATCTTCACTGGAACCAACTGACTGATTATCTTCAACCACCTCACTCTCATCTTCTTCCTAAGTCTTGTTATTTTTAGTCTTGAGGTTTTTTTGTTGGTTTGTTTTTTGTTTTGTTTTGTTCTGTTCTGTGTGTGTGATACTAGGGATTGGACCCAGGGACACTCTACCAAGAGTTAACATTTCCAGAATTTCTTAGTTTTTAATTTGGTACAGGGTCTCACTAAGTTGCCAGGGCTGGACTCAAACTTAGGATCCTCCTGCCTCATCTCCAAGTTGCTAGGATTACAGGCACATGCCACCATGCTCAGTTTCAAAACTTTGTTTCTTTTTTTAAATATTTATTTTTTAGTTTTAGGCGGACACAACATCTTTGTTTGTATGTGGTGCTGAGGATCGAACCCGGGCCGCATGCATGCCAGGCCAGCACGCTACCGCTTGAGCCACATGCCTAGCCCTCAGAAGTTTTTTTTTTTTTTTAATATTTATTTTTTAGTTGTAGTTGAACACTATAGCTTTATTTTATTCATATATTTTTATGTGGTGCTGAGGACCAAACCCAGTGTCTTGCAGGTGTAAGGCGAGAGCTCTACCACTGAGCTACAACCCCAGCCCTCAAAACTTTTTATAAAAACAAACTTATTTATGAATAATTTTAGATTATTAAACACAGTACAGAGAGTTATTATAATCCCCACCTAGTTGAAGTTGATTATATAAACTAATCCAAAAAAATCTTATATTACCATACTTTGATATATTTTTACTAATATACCCAAGAACTTATTTGGATTTCACAAATTTTTTCAAAATTTTTTTTAGTTTTAGTTGGACACAATACCTTTATTTTATTTATTTTTATGTGGTGCTGAGGATCGAACCCAGTACCTCACACATGCTAGGCGAGCATTCTACTGCTGAGCCACAACCCCAGCCCCTTCACAAAATTTTCCACTAAAATCCTTTCTCTCTTCCAGGATCCAGTGTGGTATACTTCACTGCATTTAAAAGAACTTTGTTTTTTTTCCCTAAGTCAGGGTTCTCTTTAATCTGGTAAATCACTAACATTCCAAACTTTCCTTCAGCTTAGCCAACTTATTGAAAGACATCTTATCTACAGTTTTATTCAACATTCTCCCAATTCCTCTGCAACATCTTCAAAATGCTCTCCTTTGAAATTATCAGATCAAAGGGCACAGTTCACGGTTCTGACCAGCCATCAACCCTATCAGTTGAACACAACTAGAATTATTCAGTGGGTCATATGAACAAATGCCAGTATCTAGTCTAATAACACATTTTCTCTCTTCACAGGGATATTTACAGAACCAGATAATAATTTCTAGACTTCATGAATGTGATGATTCCCAGAATAGTGCAGGATTTGGAACATAACATTAAGAAAAAAAATTAGCTGACCACAAAGTACCAAGCAGGATTCTGGATTAAACGTGGAAGGAGTTAGAAAGCACTGTTTTCGGGCCTACCAAACAGTATACAAAGTGTCTAATGTAAAAAAGGTTTCCCCTATTTTTGCTCTTCTAAGCAAAATATGGCCACTAGCTCCGCAGTCGCTAAAGCTCACTTTGTAATTATCAACTATAATGTTTTTGGCTCATCTGATTATATCAACTACTGATTATAAGCCATAAATCTCTCTGGCCCTCCATCTCTAGTCTCCTCAGGCTCCCTCTAAGACAGACTACTCAATATTTGTTTTGCTTTATTTTATGCTTCCTATATATGGTATCCTAGGCCCCAACATAAACTCATGATGAATACAAAGATTAACCCCATTTATACAATAGGACACCAATATTTAGAAATAGGAATCAGTAACTTGCCCAGAGATAATAACTAGAGTTGACATATAAAACCAGATCTAATATCAATATCTGTAGGATTTTTTTTTAAGAGAGAGAGGGGGGGGAGGGAGGGAGGGAGAATTTTTTTTTTTAATATTTATTTTTTAGTTTTTCAGTGGACACAACATCTTTATTTTATTTTTATGTGGTGCTAAGGATCGAATCCAGCGCCCCGCGCATGCTAGGCGAGCGTGCTACTGCTTGAGCCACATCCCCAGCCCGTTTTTTGTTTTGTTTTGTTTTGTTTTTAGTACCAGGGATTGAATCCAGGGGCATTTAACCACTAAGCCACATTCCAGCCCTTTTTATTTTTTGAGACAGAATCTCACTAAGTTGCTTAAGGCCTTGCTAAATTGATGAGGCTGGCTTTGAACTTGTGATCCTCCTGCCTCAGCCTCAAAAGTTGCTGGAATTACAGGTGTGTGCCACAGTGCCAGTTATGACTATACTTATGTTTGGCCATGATTTTAGCTGGATATTAGTTACACTAGAGACCATGAATCACTAAATCTGTCCATGACCTCTGTTCATAAATAAAGTTTTATTGGAACACAGCTACCCCCATTTCTTTAAACAGCAGTGGTGAGTAATTGTAAAAGAGATCATATGAACTGCGAAACTTATCTAGTCCTTTACAGAAGAAGTTTGCCCATCTCTGTACTAGATCATGCAGCTTTATGAACAGTCACTGAGTATTCATTCCCTCAACTTAGCTCAGGGCCTGCCCATGTGAGTGCTCAAGTAATTGTTTGCTGTCTGAATTTTTTAAATTTTTTTAGTTGTAGATGGACACAATACCTTTCTTTTATTTATATATTTTTATGTGGTGCTGAGGATCAAACCCAGAGCCTCACACATGCTAGGCAAGTGCTCTACCACTGAGCTACAACCCCAGCACCTACTGTATGAATTTTTACTTCCTTCCTACATTAAGTAGAATAATGACTCACATAGAGGGGACCAACAACATAAATTGTTCCTACCTGATCGAGATCTTCATAGCCAATTGCATAGATTAACAACCAGACACCTCCTTTCTAATGTATTATATTCATGGATACAAAATTAATCTTTTAATTTCCATTATTTTTACCTATCAGTTTTAGTAGCCCCCTATTTTCCACCTAATAGAAACTACTCAATTGGATATTCTTGTTCCACTAGCAAATTCTTCCCTCAAACTTCTAACCAATGCTTTTCTCCTCCAGCCAATAAAAACTGCTCGCTATATGGTTCCTAATCACATAAAAGGTGTCTTTGTAAATAAATGGATAAAGAGACCCTGTGGGGGAGAGATGAATTATAAATGAAAAAAAAAAAAAAAAAAACTTTTCCTTGGAACTGTACTCTCACACCATGGATCAAGGTTTAAAGGAGGAGTAAGTTTGAATTCATCCCCAAATTGCTAGGTAAACCTGATACTATGTAGTACAAGACCCTCTACAGCTATAGAGGGTCTAACACATCCACCTAGCCAGTTTCTCTCAAAAAATACCAAATCATTCTCCTCGTTCCAATTAATGCTACTTTATAACTTCTTTCACTTTTTTCTTTACTCTGCATCCCCTTACCAATGAAATATTCAGTCTGTACATGTAAAGTTTACTGCCTCATTATTAATACTCTCTGGTTGTTTCAAGCAATTTGACTTATTAACCAAGTGCCTCGAGAAAAGAAATCATTTAGTGGAGCACACCTGTAATCCTAGCAGCTAGGGAGATTGAGGCAGGAGGACCACAAGTTCAAAGCCAGCCTCAGCAAAAGCGAGGCTCTAAGCAACTCAGTAAGACCCTGTCTCTAAATAAAATACAAAATAGGGCTGGGGAAGTGGCTCAGTGGTTGAGTGCCTGAATTTAATCCCCAGTACCCGCACCTGGCAAAAAAAAAAAAAAAAAGAAAAAGATTTATAGTTTCTTATATATGCCTACAGATCTTACTGTCATGGTCTATTTTCATTAAAATTCACTGAACAGCTGTGCATTATGGCACATGCCTGTAATCCCAGCAGCTCAGGAGGCTGAGATAGGAGGATCACAAGTTCAAAGCCAGCATCAGCATCTTAGTGAGGCACTAAGCAACTCAGCAAGACTCTGTCTCAAAATAAAATATTAAAAGGGCTGAGGATGTTGCTCAGTGGTAAAGCACCCCTGGGATCAATCCCCAGGGGGAAAAAATGTTTTTTGGCTGAATATAATAAAGCAATACCAATTTTTTAAAAATTATTTTCATACACACACACACACACACACACATACATATATGTGTGTATTTTAGTTGTTGACAGAGCTTTATTTTATTCATTTATTTATATGGGGTGCTGAGAATTGAATCCAATGCCTCACACATGTTAGGCAAGCACTCTACCACTGAGCCACAACACCAGCCTGCAACCCCAATTTTGTTTAATAAAAGTAAAATCTAGAGTTCAGAGCTTCCCAGACTCTCTCACAAGTTCAGATCCTAGATGTGGAAATGCCCTTTTAGAGCAGTGCAACTGGGAAAGCAAGTCTGCAGTCGGAGAAGAGCATGGAAATTACAATCACTTTTAACAAATATGCCAAAAGATATTTGTTAAATTTGGGTAATAGTATACTAGATGATGACAGTAAGGCTGTTCTTATTATTTTCTCATTTACAAAAAAAATGCACAATAAAGGGCTTAGAATCTTACAAATTAACATAATAAACCTGGCGCAGTGGTGCATACCTGTAATCCCAACAACTCAGGAAGCTGAGGCAGGAAGATCACAAGTTCTAGGCCAACCTGGGCAACCTGGCAAGACTCTGTCTCAAAAAATAAAAAGGACTGGGGATGTAGCTCAGTGTAAGAGCACCTCTGGGTTCAATCCCCAGTACCACCAATAAAAAAATAAATAAATAGTACAATAATATCCACGTACATGGCACAAAAATATTGTTTATCATAAAAACAAAGATTTGTGCTAAGGTGTAATATTTAGTTTAAAGCTAGTTAATCAAGTCAGAAGGTATATTCTTTTCTCACTTTAGGCAGGTACTTTTTTAACTCAGGGCACTTAACCACTGAGCCACATACTCAACCCTTTTTTTTTTTTTTAGAGAGAAGGTTTGGTGAATTGCTGAGGCTGGCTTTGAATTACCGATTCTCCTGCCTCAACCTCCTGAGTCACTGGGATTACAGGTGTGTACCCAGTAACTTTTTTTTATTTAATTGCTATGGATTGAATCCTGAACCTCACACATGATAATCAAGTGCTCTAGCACTTAGCTACATCAACCAGCCCAAGACCTCTTAATTCAGACAAGGTAACAATTTTGGAAATAGAACTCAACTAGAGATTCTCAAGTTCTAACTCTCAACTAACATATCACTTTGATTCCTCTTAGGAGGGGAAGTCTTAAGGAATAACACTTACGCCACCATCATGACAAAAACTAAGGTACCTACACTACTAAAAACAAGTGTATACTAGGCACAGTGGCACACACCAGTATTGAAAATTCAAGACCAGCCTCAGCAACTTAGTGAGGTTCTAAGCATTTTAGCAAGACCCCATCCCAAAAATAAAATAAATAAGTAAATAAATAAATAAATAAAACAATGGACTGGGGATACAGCTCAGTGGTAAAGTGCTTCTGGGTTAAATCTCTGGTACAAAAAAAAAATAGTCACAAAACAATATTTCAGAGCTTCCTAGTAAAAGATAAAATCACTATTTCTGCTATCACACAAAAGTAAAACTACTTTCTCTGCAAAGACACTTACCTGTGGCACAACATCCTGAAGAAAAGTTACAACACTTTCCATGTAGGACTGCTCTCTGGAAAAGAGCAAAATGGATAAGATTTGACATGATAGATTTAGACAGACCATGGAAAAGCTCTATATGTGAGCCCAAATGAAGTCACTCCCAATATTAAAACAAGGGGGAAAAATTATCACTTGATAATTCTGTTTATCCACTTGCTAGTTTCATGAATCTTTGTATATGCTCTTGACTGTAAGTCTTAAATTTTAAAAGAAGAACTAATGGCACATGCCTGTAATCCCAGCAGCTCAGGAAGCTGAGGCAGGAGGATCACAAGTTCAAACCCAGCCTCAGCAACTTGGCAAGGCCCTAAGCAAGGGATGTGGGGATATAGATCAGCAGTAGAATACCCCTGGATTAAATTTTCAGTGCCAAAAAGAAGATAAATATTTTTTTTTAAAGTTGATGAGGCTATAGGTCAGTGTTACAGCACTTGCCTAACAAGTGAAAGACCCCGGGGTTCAATCACCAGTACCAAAATAATAATAATAATAATAGTAATACTCTTCTAATCTGATAGAGATAACTTCTAATTCATGTTTGAAGGAGTGATGACAGAATTCCTAGCTAAGACAGACCTTCCTCTTGAGTCAGAGCATAACAATGCCCTACTTAGAGCAAGAAAAACTGTTGCTGATGACTCAGTATTTAGTGACCTCCTCTTTAAATTTGTTATGAACCTAGTCCTTTACCTGTATGTAGCAAAATGAGTCTACATTTTGCTCTATGTGCAGACATTAGAACAAGTTATTAAAAAGTCTTTACAGAACTTTTGCATACATGAAGCCTGGGAAAATATCAAAAAGCATAAAAGTGAGGGAAAATAACATTGTTCAGGACACTAAATGAGATTTTTTTTTTTATGCTGTTGGAAATAGAGTCCAGAACAAAACACATGTTAGGCAAGTATCCTATCACTGAGCTACATCCCCACCTCCCACCCAAAGATATTTTAAATGGGAAGTATACAGGTATAAACATGTGCAAAAAATAATTTCTTCAAAATACTAAATTAATTTCAGGAAAGATATGAAAAAGTACATTCAAAATAATACAAGACATTCTAAAACCTAGGAAAAAAATATACCTTAGACTGTGATTGCTTCTTGTTGTTTGGTTGTGTTTTTTTTTCCCCAGAGTCAGGGATTGAACCCAGGGCCAAAGGCATGCTAAACAAGTACCTAATCAATGAGTTACATTCCCAATCCTATATTTTTAAAACATGCCTTGGAGACTTACAAAAATTGATTAGGCCTAAAAACAAACAAACAAACAAAACAAACAAACAAAAAATGATTAGGCTGTGGACTACAGTAGCACCATGGCACAGCACATGTTTGATCCCCAGCACCCAAAAAAAAAAAAGATTTGGCCTACCTCTCCAACCTCACTTTTTTGCCATTCTGCTTACATACACTGCTTAACCTATATGCCACTGCAATTTCTAGAATACAGTATACTATTGTTTTTTTTTTCTTTTGTTTTATTTTTGTACTGAGGATTGAACCCCGAGGCACTTTTCAACTGAGCCATATCCCCAGCCCTTTTTTTATTTTGAAATGTGGTCTCACTTATTTACTGAGGGCCTCATTAAGTTGCTGGAGCTGGCCTTGAATTTGAGATCCTCCTGTCTCAGCCTCCTGAGTCTCTGGAATTACAAGCATGCCACACCATGCCCAGAACTACACTATTCCTTGAATCAAGACCTCTACATCATCTTTCTTTCTGCCCGATATCTTCCCACATACTTTTCTTTCATTCAACTCTCCAGTTTAAATGCTGCTTCCTCAAAAAGATCTTCAGTGATAGCCCTACACATACTCCCTTGTTACTCTCTATCATGGCATACTGTGCGGGGATGACACCTATAATTTATGTACTTTCTTACTTATTTATTATTTTCCCCCACCAGAATGTAAGCTCCATTACAAGAAGGAAGGAATTCATCTCTCATATTTACTTTTTTTTTTTTTTTTTTTTTTTGGTACCAGGGGTTGATTTCAGGGGTGCTTAACCACTGAACCATATCTCCAGCCCTTTTTAGTTTTTTATTTTGAGTCAGGGTCTCAGTGAGTTGCTGACATTGGCTTTGAACTTAAGATCCTCCTGCTTTAGCCTCCTGAGCTTCTGGGATTACAGGAGTGAGCCACTGTGTCAGCTTCCCCTAAAACTGACAAGTCCTAGCAATTGAACCCGGGGCCTGCCACATACCACGTAAGTACTCTACCACTGAGCTATATCCCCAACCCTTTTGTTGTTGTTGTTGAGATAGGGTTTTACTAAGCTACCCAGGTTGGCCTCAAATTTTCAATCCTCCTGCCTCAGTTTCCCAGTAGCAGAGGTTATAGGTATGTACTACCATTCCTGGCCACCACCATCTTATCACCAAAACCTATTAGCCAGTATTTAAGTCCATGCTTATATTAAAAAAATGAATGAATGAAAGATTGAAAAACCAACCCCACTAAAAGTGTGTACTGCATAACTAAAAGCAATATGCAACATGCTTTGAACACCATATTGTGAGACAACACAGAATACTAAATAAGGACACAGATCCCTATTCATAGTAAATAAGAACAAAACAATCTGGGCTTGATCCTGGTTCCCCTTCTTGAGGGCTGGGAGTATAAGTGGTAGAGTGCTTGCCTAGCATGCACAATTCCCTGGGTTCAATCCCCAAGCATCACACACACAAAAAAAAAAAAAAAGGAAAGAAAAAAGTTAATATGGTGGCTCCCCTCTTTGACTGTTACCAAGGAGAATTCAATTTTTCCCTATTTTGATTTCCTCAACAGTACCCAACTCATAGCTAATAACATGTATAACTTGTTGCTATGATTCATAGTTAGAAAAGAAATATATCTCTCGGAAGTGTAGAGGAAGTATCATGGTAAAAGATCATATTATACATATCCTTGGTCAATCTGAGAAAGCAATCTTAGTGTAAAATGCTAAACTACTACCCAAGGGAAATAATCCAAGACTACTACAATTTCCCTCTAACAGCATTTTATAAGGCATAAAACGAGCCTCATCTCCACCAGGCCCTGAAGGGTCTTAATTGTCTACCTCAACCTATTTTAAATAGGTCATTTTTCCTGCATCAGGACTACATTTCATTTATAAAACAGCCTATCTTTCCCAAATCTTTTCACCCTATTCCCTTTGCCCTAAATGTATCTTTGATTCCAAAAGGCTAAATTTTTTCACCCTTAAAAGATACATTCTTACTGTTACCTTCTTAAAGAAACCTTGTCTGATCACACTCCTAAAATACTTTCTAAATTTTTATGCTGTTTTGCTGGAATCCTTTCTTTTTTGCAGGTTACACTAATATCAAGTATGTACATCTTTAAACCACACTGTATTATAAACTCCTAGAAAATATAGATACTCTTTGTCAAAGATTATCCAATATCTATAAATTTGCTCTTGATACTTTGAAACATTCTGAGACCTAGAGTAAGAGATACATTTTATATTACAATCTAGTAATCATATACATACATAGGAATATATTTGTGCACAGCATGAAATAATTCTAACTCCCTTTATATGTTTTCTATTTGTGATGTTAGAGATCTAACCCAGGACCTCACATATGCTAGGCAAGTGCTCTACCACTGAGCTATGCCTCCAGATGCTATTTAATTATTAAAACACAGATCCTGACCCACCAAGTTGATTTTATGATCCACTAGTTTGTTAAACCTAGAGTTTGAAAAACCATGACTCTTCAGGATTTAACACAGTATTCTTTTTTTTTTTTTGGCACCTGGGAGTGAATTCAGGGGTACTTGACCAGACAGCATCCCCAGCCCTATTTTGTATTTTATTTAGAGACAGGGGTCTCACTGAGTTGCTTAGTGCCTCACTGTTGCTGAGGCTGACCTTATACTAGCAATTCTCCTGTCTCAGTCTCCCAAGCCGCTGGGATTACAGGCATGCACCACCACGCCAAGTTTAGCACAGTATTCTTTAGGTACTCTATAGCTCTCCAAATGTTCCTTTTATCTGGCCTCAGCAATGATATTCCCTCAACCTGTAAAGCCAAAATTTTAAAGATTTTTACAAAAGTAAGCACTAGTTAAAAAGAAAATCTGATGTTGGATACAGGGGTGCCCACCTGTAATCCCAGCAACTAAGATGGCTGAGGCAGAAGGATCACAAGTTTGAGGACAGCCTCAGTAAATAAGCAAGGCTCTAAGTAACTTAGCAAGACCCTATTCAAAATAAAAGATAAAAAGGGCTGAGGATGGGGCTGGAGTTGTGGCTCAGTGGTTCAATCCTCAGCACCACATATGAATAAATAAAATACAAAAGATCCATTGATAATTAAAAAATATTTTTTTCTAAAAAGGGGGCTGAGGATGTAACTCAGTGGTAAATCACCCCTGGGTTCAATATGCAGTACCAAAACAAAACAAAAATGAAAACAAAAATTTGAATGTTAGTTATTATTGTGAGTAAAGTTTTCTTCAGCTGTTGGGCTTATCTGAAGTATGCTTACGTGACAGCCTGAGGGCGAACCACAACTCCACCAGTACAACGACTGGGTCTTCTAGGAGAATCTGTAGCCATAGCTTCATTCATAAAACCTGGTTCCAGAACAAAAAAAAAAAAAAAAAAAAAAGCTTAATCATCGTCATTAGAGGAAGAAAGTCTTATGATTACTTACCAGAGAATCCTTCTGAAAAAATGCCTAAAAAGATTGGCATGGTGGCACAAACAAATAATCCCAGCTACTTGGGAGGCTGAGGCAGAGAAGTAGCCAGCCTCAGCAACTTAGCATTGCTTTTTCTCAAAATTAAAATTAAAAGGGCTCAGGATGTGGCTCAGTAGTAAGGCACTCCTGTATTTAATCCTCAGTAATGGAAAGGTTGGGGGATAAGGGGACCAACAAAGTACAAAATCCTCCTGAAATTTCTATTAAACCAGAAAAAGAAAATATTTTTTAAATTCCAAATTATGAGGTTTGTTTTTTTTTTTATATAGACAATGTCTCAGAACCAAAAACAGTAAATGCTCTTGCTGGACCCTTTGTTCTCTTGTTAACATACACTAGAAAGATAAGAGAATGAGATGGGATGGGAATTGTAGCACAGGAGCAATGAGATAAATATTCTACCTTGGTGAGTCAAAATAAAAGAATTTACTCAAATTTTAGGTTGAGATAGTGAATATGCACATGGAATAATATTTCAAGACCCAAAGGAACAATGACATGATACCCCTCTACTTTCTTATTAAACCTGCTGGGAATCTCAGTAAGACAGCAGGGCCTCATTTAAATCATATTTTCAACCTCTGTCTATTGTAACCTAATCTCCAGGCTGAATACATATGTATATAAACATGCATGGTGTGAGATGCCCCTTATCCTTCCCCATTGCACCACTAAATCCTCATCCTTGAATGTTTAATGAGTCTCTGAATCACTAAGGAGGTTTTAAGAGCATGGAGTCTACTTGTTTAAGGTTAAAAGAGGACTGACAGCAATATTAAAGCCCAGAGCACGAAACTAATGCGAAAAGAACCTAAAAGCATCACTTCTAAGTAGGAAGCATTCTATCACCTTGTTTGAAAACTCCCAAACTGATAAGTCCCATCTCCTACACCTTTTGCCAACTGGTCCAGCTACCCCTTCCTTCCTCAGGGGGTACCTTTCAACTCCAGCTCCCTTATCCCTCTCATTTCCATTTCACCCTTTCTTTTCCGAACCAGTCATCCAACCTCTCTCTGTTCTTTAAAGGCCCTGTCATCTGAGGACCACTCTCGCCAGCCCCTCAGGCCCCACTCTCCCAAAAGACACTCACACAGCGCTATCCACTTAACCTCCAAAGCAGAGCCACCGCTGCCCCCGGCCGCCCTCTGGCCCCTTGCCCTTCTCCCCTCCCCCTCTAGTCTCGACACTTCTCCCCAGTCGAATTCCTGCCAGCCAAACACTGCCCCCCTCACGCTGCCTGCCCCTTGTCCGCTCCAAGCCTCCCCAAAGCCAAAGACCCGCCAGCCCTCTCACCGGCCGCTCCGCCGGTAAACGCTGTTCCCCAGCTCCAGGCTCACTGTTTGGAGTCTCCCCTCGTGATTGACGGCTTCCACTTCCTACCACGCCTCAGCGGAACCACCCTGCTAGCCAATCCCAGAAGCAAACTGGCCCTGGACGGGCACCGCCCTTGGAGGTCAGCTTCGCCAACCAGCAAGTAGAAAAGAGGCGGACCCGCCTCCTGAACATATCCAATCCGCTGGGGCTGGAGGGAAAACACAACAGTATGTAAGTTCGGGTGAAGTCGATGTATCAGGTTCGGTTGCGAGCGCAGTCAGGTAGGCAAGGATTACGAACGTGTCTATTTTAGTGACAGACAGTACCATCGTGGGTTTTTAGGAAAAAAACAACATGCCCCAGACACCTGCTGACCTCGCCCAAGCGTCTCAGACTGGGAACCAGAGGACAGGGAGACGGGTCTGTTTACATCGAATTCTCGCGACAGCTGGTTCGAAACTCAAAGCACGTGGACGTGGCAGCTGCCAATCACTCTTAACTGGCCATTCATCCGTCCAGAAACCGACTTCTGCCCCGCCCTTTGCGATGTGTTTACCTTCCGGGATCCTAGGCTGACTCGCCCCGCAGATCAGCCCTGGAACCTAGGCGGTGTTGTTCTGAGGAAGGGGCATGGCGGTGGTCTTGTTAGATTTGAGCTCCCTTATAGAACCAGGACTGAGTGTTTACCACAGTTTACATCTTCCTTATCGGGATCTAACCATTGTCATTTTTTTTCGTACTTTTTAAAAGAAGAAAAATTGATTTATTGATCACTCCGCAGTCTTTGATTTTACTTCATATGCAATACTTTATTACCAAATTTAATGCTGCAACAGCTCCATGAAGATATTGCTTATTAATAGGCACGGTTTTGTAACTAATTGGCTGATACAACAGTAAACATTAGAAAGATCTTAGCACAATGCAGGAGGGAAAGGTTTAATAGAAAAACTACTACCTCCCAAATACGAAATCTCCGGGCGCGGTGGCACACGCCTGTGATCCGAGCGGTTCGAGGTGGGAGGATGAGGCAAGACGACTGTAAACTCAAAGCAGCTCAGCAACTTGGAAAGATCCTGTCTCAAATTTTTAAAAAAGGGCGGAGATGTAGCTCAGTGGTTAAGCGCCCCTGGATTCAACCCCCTGTACCAAAAAAGAAAGGATGAAAGAAACAAGAGCCCAGCGCAGTGGTGCACCTCCTGTAATCAAAGCACCTTGAGAGGCTGAGGCAGAAGGAAGGCAAGTTCAAAGTCAGTATCAGCAAATTAGCGAGGCTCTAAGCAACTTATTGATACCCTGTCCTCAAAAATTAAAAAAGGCTTGGGATGTAGTTCAGTGATTAAGAGCCCTTAGATTCAATCCCCAGGACCAAAAACAAACAAACAAACAAAAAAAAACCTTCCTACCTTAAACACACTACAGAAAGAATCTTCCCAGTATTCTGAATTCCTTCTGTTTTTACTGTTGTACTTTTTTTTTTTAACCAGGGATTGAACCCAAGGGCACTTAACCACTGAGCTACATCCCCAGTCCTTTTTTATTTTTTATTGAGAGGATCTCACTGGGTTGCTTGCAGCCTAAGTTGCTGAGGCTTGCTTTGAACATGGGATCCTCCTGCCTCAGCCTCCTTAGCCACTAGGATTACAGGCCTGTGCCACCATGCTGGGCCAGCACTGGCTTCTTTATTGTCTCTGTAATGTGTTTTGGGTGCTTCTTTTCTGTAAATATCCTTTTCCCCCATCTACAACATTAAATACTTCCTAGACAATAGTAGGTCAAGCCTTTTACATTGCTGAATCCCCCTTAACCCCTAACAGCCATGAATCCACAAGAATTTAAAAATTAAGATTTCTTTGAATGTAAAAACTATTGTTCATATGCTGTCCAGAACCCAGAGCAGTATTAAAAACAAAACCTAGATACCAATAACTAATAATCACAAATGGGATAATCAACATTTGGATACATTTTTCAGTTTAGAGTTGATTTTTGATCTGCTTGTTGGTTTTGTTTGTAGTACTGGGGATGGAACTCAGAGCCTGAGTTACCTTCCCAGCCCCTTGTAAATTTTGAGACAGGGTCTCACTAAATTGCTGAGGCTGGCCTCAAACTTGAGATCCTCCTGCCTCAGCCCCCCAAGTTGCTATGATTACAGGCATGCGCACTGTGCCCTACAGTTTTGTATGCATTGTTAAACCTCATAACTCTATTTCTCTTCATAGCTATGATAAAATCAAGCAAACAAAATCATAAAGGATATACCTGTGCACAAGTTCATTCATTCATGAATTCAACTAATACCTGAGTACCTATCAAGTGTTAGGTGTGTTCTGAGTGGGGATATATATAGCCCAGTGAACAAATGGACAAATCATTGCACTTGTCCTTAGCCAAAGAATTCACACTCTGATGGGAAGACAGAAATAAACACAAACTGAGAAGGTAAAGTAGTGTAAAATGCCATGAAGAAAAACAATCCAGATAAATACATCAGCAAATGGCTTATTTTAGATAATATAGTCAGGACCAGGTCATACCTATAATCCCAGCTGCCCAGGACTTGAAGGAGGAGGATCTCACATTAGAGGTCAGCTTCAGCAATTTAGTGAGATCCTGCCTCAAAAAAAAAAAAAAAAAAATTAATAGGGCTGGTAATGTTGATCAGTGGTAAAACACCCCTGGGTTCAATCCCCAGCACAAAACAAACAAACAAAAAAAGATAGTACAGTCAGGGATATTTGTTTTGTGTGTGTTGTTTTGTCTTGTGTTGTGTTGGGGGTTGAACCCACAGCCTGGAGCTTGCTAAGTACATTCTCTAGTCTACTCCCAGCCTGGAGAGAACATTTAAATAAAAACCTCAACTAAATGAGGAAGACATTCTGAGAGAGCAGTCCAGACAAAAGGATCAAATTACCCAGCCCCTAAGAAGAGTTTTAAGGAAAAAAAAAAAAAAAGAAAATCAATATGGCTCAAATAAAGTGAACTAAGTTAATCTTACTGCAGACTAGTTAGGGAAGATAAAGAATGGCCAAATGCAATATGGTCTTACAAAGAATTATAAGGAATTTCCATTTTTTTAATAGGATGGGAACCTATTGGAAGAATTTCAGCTAGGAAGTGTCATATTATTTTTTTCTTGAAGTTCAGGAATTCAGCCTAAGGGTTCACCCATGCTAGATAAGTGCTCTACCACTGACTACATCCCCAGCCTTTTTAAATTTTGAGATGGGGGTCTCACCAAGTTACCTAGGCTCTCCTTGAATTTGCCCTCCTCAATTTCTGGAATAAGTAGGATTACAGGTGTGCACTGTCACTCCTCGCTGACACTTGATTTTAACAATGCCAAAGTAATCTATTTTCTTACACAACTATGGTGAATATAAATAATTTTTTTTTACCAGAGAGAGATTAAACCCAGCAGTGCTAAAACACTGACCCACATCACCAGCCCTTTTTAAAATATTTTATTTAGAGACAGAATCTCGCTGAGTTGCTTAGGGCCTCACTAAATTATGAAGGCATCCTCCTGCCTCAGCCTTCCGAGCCCCTAGTATTACAGGTGTGCACTAACACACTGGACAATATTTTAATTTTCAGGGCTGGGGATATAGTTCAGTTGGTAGAGTGCTTGCCTCGCATGCACAAAGGCCCTGGGTTCAATCCCTAGGAGCACACACACACACACACACATATATGTGTACATTTAATTTTCAATAAATTTAAAGACAGGATTGAATCTACACCTCTAGTCCCAGCTACTTGAAAGGCTGAGGCAAAAGGATCACTTACCAGCTTGAGGAAACATATCAAGACACCATCTGGGGGTGGGGAGAAAATATCATATAAGAAAAAGATAGCCAGGCTCAGTGGTGCATGCCTGTAATCCCAGCAATTTGGGAGGCTGAGGCAGGAGGATCACAAGTTCAAGGCCAGCCTGGTCAATTTAGCAAGACCCTATCTCAAAATAAATATAAAAAATGGACAAGGATGTAGCTCAATTGTAGAGCATCCTTAGGTTCAATCCCCAGTAGAGAAAGAAGGAAACAAGAAAAAATGTTTCATTACTGATAGCAAAAACTGTAACAGTATCTGATTGGATTTTCTATGTTCATAGATGTCATATGTTAGACAATAATAGAGAGGGCAATACAATGGTAAAGTTTCTACATTCCACTTTAAGTGATCAAATATTGATATTGAGTATAAAAGAATGTATAATTCCTAATGTAACAACTACTTCTGGCAAAATATTTTGCTTCATAGATTAAAATCTTGGGGCTAGGGACATAGCTTAGTTGGTAGAGTACTTGCCCACATGCACAAGGCTCTGCGTTCAATCCCTGGCAAAGAAAGAGGAAGGAAGAGGAAGGAAGAGGAAGGAAGAGGAAGGAAGAGGAAGGAAGAGGAAGGAAGGAAGGAAGGAAGGAAGGAAGGAAGGAAGGAAGGAAGGAAGGAAGGAAGGAAGGAAGGAAATTAAGTTCTTAACTTTTGTTACTGGCACAATATATTTAGGGGTAAAATATACTGAAATGCTTTCTTCCATCACATGAATTTTTCAAGTATCTTTATGATGAAAAATTCAATGTTCATTAATGCTGTTATGAAAACATACCTAGTACACAGCTTGTGAAACCTCTGTTAGGGGTTGGGGATATTGCTCAGTGGCAGGGCACTTTGCTTAGCTTTTGAGAGTCTCCAAGTTTCATCCCCAGCACTGGAAAAATAAAGATTACATAACCCATTACTGTAATCAAGTGGAAATTTTAACTTCATGTATAGGAATATTTTATTTACAACCACTAGGAGATAAAAGTGAAAAGTAGCTAAACAGATTTTAATATACACATATATTTGATGAATTTCAACTTGGTACAGATAAAATATCATAGATATAAAAGATGGAAGTCCTTCACAATGAATTAACTCCAAAATTGTCTATTAGTTGCTATGTCTCTATCTTGGAAAGATATGAAAAACAAATTCTTCAACATTCAAAAATCCATAAGGTGGGGATGTAGTTCAGTGATAGAGCACTTCTGGAATGTATGAGGCCCTGGATTTGATTCCCAGTACCCCAAGGGGGAAAAGAAATCCTTCTAAAAAACCAGCCACACAGGATTGGGTGTGTAGCTGGAATAAAGCACATATTTAACCTGCAAGTGCTAGGTTTAATCCCCACCCACAAAACAATTCAAACCAACAAAGCAGCCACAAATAACATTTTACCTCCATCACTGGTTCTCAATTAATACTTTCATAAAAAATTGATATGCTTCCAAGTATATATTTTCTAGTATATGTGACACACATTGTTGCATGTATAAATTCTTTTTATTTTTTTTAATTTGGTGCAGGATATTGAACCCAGGGCCTCAGTCATGCTAAGGAGATGTTGTACCAATGAGCTACAACCCCAACCCATGAATTAACTCATTTATCTGTCAATGAGATTTCTTATTCCTAATAAAATTTAACTTTTTTCTCATAGAACACAATTCATCACACTTGGTGCTTTAGTATTGTCCCTTTTCCCTGCTATACTACTAAAGTATAAATAGTGGGGGGGGGGGGGGTTGAGTTTGTTTGTTTTTCTCGTGGTATAGATATTGGAACCCAGGGCCTTAAATGTGCTAGGCAAACACTCTACCACTGTATTACATCTCCAGACCCTGTTTTATTCATGGTTAATTGATACATATTCCACCAAATATTCATAAATCATAATTTAATCATATTCTTTTTGGATATTTTGTTTCTATGCATTCTATATTAAAATTTAAAATTCAGTTTAAAAATGAATATTACACATATTTAAGTCATTACTCTAAAGCATTATCATAGCACAATAGACTATTAATATATACCATTAAAACAAACCACCAACAAAAATCCAGTTACATGAAGAACAGCTCACTGATTTATTAGATGAACAAACATACTCATATAATCAATGAAAACTGTACGATACAAAATAATTTAAGAAATGTTGGAAATTAGCAGCACCATCTGTTATTGAAATAGCAAGAAAAACTTCACATATTTAAGCAAACACTAGAAAGGGGATAACTATTTAAAGAACTAATAATGCCACTGGTCTGGGAAGACTGAGAAGGGCACTGTTTTAGGCAAACACACACCAAGATTCAGTGAGTATATCTGATGGTTAATGTTTTAGAAAAATGCTAATGAAGTAAAAGATACTGCACAGTGTTTTAATTAGGACAAGGAAACTAACATCCAGCTACTTTTAGCATGGCTCAACACTTCTATGAAAAATTTAGTTCTGAATTATGAAATTAGAAATAAAAAATACTTTTTAAAAGACACGAGTAGTCTCTAGGAAACATTAAGTGGAACACAGGTCACTATGAAAATACATCATTCTTCCAGTCTGCTTAATAATTTACTTTAAAAAGTTGTGTTGTTTTCATCACAAGTGGCTTGTACAAATTTTTAATAAGCATTTTAAAAAGTTTAAATGTATTTCTAAAATCTAATAGATTCTTTTGATTTTTTTAAAACATTTAGCCCTGTTGTCACAATTACTGTGTATCAGAATAAGAGACTGAGTTTGTGTGAAGGATACAAATTTACACACAGTGTACAGCAACTTATACCCTAACATCTACAAAATTCACATTTATAATACAAGCAAATACAAGGCCAGGATAAAACTGTTAAATTCCAAAAAGTCAAACTGTATACTCTTTTTATTTTGTCCCCTTAAAAAAGTTCAACTTCGGTGCCAAATCTAAAAAGCCCTCTTATATCATAAATTTGGAAAAACCTCAATTCCCAGATACTTTTCAGCAAACACAAACAGTTTTCCTGTGCTGATGTAGTAAAGGATTTCCAATTTTTCTGTGGCCCCTAAGTCTACGTCGCATGGTGAGTTTGACAGAGTTCTTCCGCTGTGAGGTTGTGGGGAGGCTTCCAGATTGAGCACCACTACTTCGGCTTAAGCCATTTCGTCTATGCTTCTTCATAAGGGGGCCAGAGTTGGATTCTTCTAATGTCCTTTTAAAGTTCGCTGGAGGGGTTCTTTCAACTTCTTGAGCTTTCATTTGACCAGGAGTTGACATCTTTAAGTTTTTTTGGTCCAAGATGGCATTTGTTGAATTTGTAGGCACAAGGCCAACTGACAGGGTATTATTCAAAGAATCGTGTATCCTTAAAGTCAGGGCTTTAGTGCAATTTTCTTCAAGTGGCTCTGGATCTTTTGAGGGTATAACTACAGCCTGGACACTCCCTCGAGCTATCTCAGCTGGGACCTCTAAAAAATTCTCTGAGAAGGCATTACTACGAACAAGGGCAGGTATATGGTCCTTGGAGTTCAGCCTTGGCCATTGATCCTCTTCCAGAGACTGAAAAACAAGAAGGTAAAACAAGAAATAATTTATCCTAGAACTCAATAAATCCACAACACATATTAGACTCCTTACAAAGTGATTAAGAAGGCAAAAATACGATATGCATTCAATCACTTATTTATTATATCGTCACTAAACTGTGTTACAAGGCTCTATGAGGGTAACCTAGGTGAGTGGAAAGCAATATAAAGGTAACGATGACACTCAAATCCTGTCTATGGGGTAACAGATGAAATAAGTAATCTATTGGAGTGGGTTAAAATTCATCTCATCATTAGTATTTCCTGTCTACTAGTGAGTAACTAAAAATAAGATACTTTAAGGAATAAGATTTCAAAACAGACCCTAAAAATAACTATAGGCACACATTTATAGCACCTTCACTCTGTATCCAAACATGAAGATAAAAGTATCATAATCTATGTACATTTTAATTTTATATGTAGCAACAACTAAACTCTAAAGAAACAACTCTAAAATGCGTGTTGTGCAGCACTGGGATAAAACCCAGGGCCTCCTCCATGTTAGACAAGCTCTCTACCACTGAGCTACATCCCCAGCCCCATAAATGTAATTGTTTTACACAAAGCCTTGTATTTTTCCATAGGGACCATCAAAAAATTGCTTCAAGGGCTGGGTTGTGGCTCAGCGATAGAGCGCCCACCTAGGCCCTGGGTTCAATCCTCAGCACCATATATATAAATAGTATCGTGTCCAACTACAACTAAAAAATAAATGTTTAAAAAACTTGCTTCAATGTGCTGGGGATGTGGCTCAAGCGGTAGTGTGCTTGCCTGGCATGCGCGGTGCTCAGTTCGATCCTCAGCACCACATACAAATAAAGATATTGTGTCCGCCGAAAACTAAAAAATGAATATTAAAAAATTCTCTCTCTCTCTCTCTCTCTAAAAAAAAAATTGCTTCAAGAAGCTATTAACAGCATCCTAATTTTATGATAACCCAAACAAATGCCTACCTAAACATTTTGAAAACTTTTTTTGTCTTTTTTTTTTTAATACTGGGGATTGAACCCAGGAACACTGTACCACTAGCCTACATCACCAGTCCTTCTATTTTTTATTTTGAGACAGGATCTTCCTAAGTTGCCCAAGCTGGCCTCAAACTTGTAATCTTTCTGCCTGAGCCTCCCAAGCACTAGTGCTTACAGGCGTGCACCCCCAATGCCCAACTAATTCAAACAATTCTTCCAAAGTAATAATATTTTATAAAACCATTGTCTTAGTAGTTTTTCAAGGCAAGAATCAAAATGCAGGGAAAGAAAGTAGAATGAATCAGACATAACTTTCCTATGTTCATAAATTAATACATCATGTTCAACCACAAAAACGGGAAGTGATAATCTTGTATCTCTGATGTGGTCAAAATATGTTCTACTGTCATGTATAACTAAAAAGAACAAATAAAAAAAGAATCAAAATGCAAATATAACTCTCTCCAAAATGTGTAAAAATTTCCCAAGTGAATCCTCAACTACATTCATAAAATATTAACATATGATTAATATATGTAGAGTAGTAAATGATTTAATGATATCTTACTCTGATATAAAATCCCATGTCAATAAACACCTTTCTAAAAAGTTCTGTATAAATACATACTTATAGTAAGAAAGTTTCCTTTAATGTATCTAGAATTGAAACAAATGGGAAGCCAAAGCATACAGAATCTTGTAGACTTAAATATCTCAATGTAACCATAGAAGTGAACATTAGTGGGGAGAGGGTAGAATCTAGTACTGCCCCAAATACATTACTCCTCTTTTTTTATTGCACATCCATAATCCCAGCGGCTCGGGAGGCTGAGACAGGAGGATCAAAGCCAGACTCAGAACCGTGAGGATGCTAAGCAATTCAGTGAGACCCTGTCTCTAAATAAAATACAAAATAGGGCTGGGGATGTGACTCAGTTGTCAAGTGCCCCTGAGTTCAATCTCCAGTACGCAAAACACACACACACACACACAAACACACACGTGCATGGACACACACACACTCTTGTTGGGCCTAGTGGTGGTACATGCTTCTAATTCTATCAACTTGGGAGGCTCAGGCAGGAGGATACCAACTTCAAAAATAGACCGGGCAATTTAGCAAGACCCTGTCTCTCAAAATAAAAAAGACTGGGGATGTGGCTCAGTGGTTAAGTGCCCCTAGTTCAATCCCCAGTACCAATAAACGAATAAATAGAATATGCTTTCTTTCTGAAGTCACTGATTCATTAATTTATTATACATTGTGTGGCTTATTAAATAAGTCTGGTTATTCTTGCCTGCTTTAACAGTGAATGGAAAGCAGCAATCTTTTTGTTGTTTTTTAAGAGGCAGGTCTCTCTATGTGGTCCAAGCAGGTCTCAAACATCTGCTCTCCCTGCTTTGCCCTCTCAAGTAATGGGTATCAATCTTAATTCAAGAATCTAGTACTGAAAAAAAAGAAAACTATCTGTTCTTTAATACTGACACATGGTTTTCAATAATATCAATGAGATTTTTGTATGCATTCATCCCTTAATTGATTCAATTATTTAAACTGGTAACAAGCATATTCTGACTGATCACAGAAAAATAAATCATAAAAAAATCACTGACAGGGGCTCAGGTTATGGCTCAGCAGTAGTGCACTTGCCTCGCATGTGTGAGACCCTGGGTTCAATCCTCAGCACCACATAAAAATAAATAAACAAAATAAAGATATTGTGACCACGTATAACTAAAAAGATATTTTTTTAAAAAATCACTGACAAAGAATCATGCAGCTCTAATATAGAAACAAGTATACAACAAGACCAGCAGTGAATAAGTTATGTAGCAGAAGTCTTCCTACTGCTAAATAATCACTTGTCACTATTTAGGAACAAAAACAAGGACTAATCAAGCTATTTATAGGAATACCACATATTGCTGCAGCATGGATAACAAGGTTAGACACAGACTGAATTCCTTTATTTTTTAAAAAAGGAACAATTTCATAGTTCATAGAATTTATAGTAATTATTCCTGCTGTGTCTTTTTTAAATTCACAGATTATTATTCTGACACTACAAGTGGACTAGGTTTTCTTGTCCCACTTCCTCCTTGAACTTTTCCTTCTCCTTCTCCTTTTATTGGCACTCTGTGAATACATCACATCTGTTAGCACAAGCAACTGCTTAGGTTTCTTAGACTCATCCCGGATTAATTTGTGTTGTTAATCTTTCTTGTTATATTCATAAAGTACTTATTATATATTGGAAGATTACTCTTTAAAAACTACCTTAAAACCTTCACTGACTCAGGTATCTCCTCCCATCTATGTTATAAGCCAGTGTTAAACAACTAATTACAAATTATACCTAAGGCACAACTGAAGGTAAATTTTATTTTTTCTGAAACTGTCTCTTTTCCCTCATCCTTCCTTCCTATAGCTCTTTTATAAAAACAACTATATTTAGTTCTTCCCTACAGAAAGAATAAAGAAATGTGAGCCATTTCAATCCCTTAAACCAAGGTATTTTCACTGTATCTACTCCAAAACAAATAACACACACCAGAACCCAACTAAAATTGACATGTCTGTAGAGTAACCTGACATGCATAGTCTAAATATGAACCTTTTTTTTTTTTTTTTTTTTTTTGGTGCATGTACATTTGGTGGTGGAGTACTGGATTGAAGCCAGGGGTGCTATACCACACTGAGCTCTATCCTCCCAGTTCTTTTGATTTATTTATTTTTATTTGGAGACAGAATCTTGCTAAGTTGCTGTCCTTGAACTTGTGATACACTCAGTGAAATGTGAATAAATCTTAACCCAATTGTCATCACACTTATCTAGATGTTATTAGACATAGGATACTGCAACAATGAAATAAATTAGAGATGTAGTGAATACTTCCCTTTAAGTCAATTAAGATAACCAAATAAAATAAATAAATAAGGCAGATTTGCTTCCACTACTTGTTAGAACAACCAAATTCTAATTATTCTGAATTGATCTAAATATTTCCCCATATTTGGAAAGGGGTACTAGGTTAACAACCAACCATCCCTGTACATAAATTAGTACATGTAAAAATCTCCTTATCAGCCAGGCCTGCTGCCACATGCCTGTAATCCCAGCTACTTAAGGAGTGGAAGCTGAGGCAGGAAGATCATAGGCAGAATATCAGTCTGCCAATTTAGGGATAACCTGTATCAAAATTTAAAATAAAATAAAAATAAGGGCTAGAACTGTAGCTCAGTGCTTACCAAAACCAACAACAACACTCCTTCCTTTAACTTTGGTCTAATTATTAGGTGATTATATCTCAGAATAGAGATTTGTTTCTTTCTTTCTGGAGACAGGATTTCACAAACCCACCAGGTTTATCAAACTTCTAGGCTCAAAAGATCCTCTTGCCTCAGTCTAATTTTTTTTTTTTTTTTTTATCAGTACTGAGGATTGAACCAAGAGCCTTGCACATGCTAGGTATGTACTCTACATCTGAACAATAATCGCCCCCCTTTTTAAATAAATTTTATCTTTTTAAGAATTTAAGATTTATTTTATTTGTGGTTTTTTAATGTGGTGCTGAGGATAGAACCCAGTGCCTCACACATGCTAGCAAGCACTCTACCACTGAGCTACAACCCCAGCCCCTAAATTTTATTTTGAGACAAATCTTGCTAAGTTGTCGAGGCTGGCCTCAAAATTGTCCTCTTGCCCTCAGCCACCCAAGTAGTTAGGATTATAGGTATGTGCCTGGCCTAAGAAATAGTTTTTAAACATTTTATGTACAGTTTTCCTAATGCCACTCAACAGACTACAATAATTTTTATTTGAGGTCAACATTGAGTATTTATTCCAATCACAATACTCTCTTGCTCCCTTACCAATGCATAACCCAAATGTTTCCTTCTCTATTCTAACTAAAGATCAGCTATTCAAGTAAATCGGGGAACAAAAAAGTAGTGAATACATACAATATTCAGAAAAAGGCAAATAGGCAGCCATATGGTGCACACCTGTAATCCCAGCAACTTGGGAGGCTGGGGCAGGAGGATTACAAGTTCGAGGCCAGCCTCAGCAACGTAGTGTGACCCTGTCTCAAGATAAAAAATAAAAAGAGCTGGACACATAGCTCAAATGGTAGCGCACTCCTGGGTTCAATCCCTAGTACCACAAGGTGGGGGAGAGAAATAGGCAAGTAAACAAGTTTCAAAGGAAAGAAAGCTTTGACAAGGAATTTCTATAGGAATATTACTATAAAATAGTCAATTTTTTTGGTAGTGCTGGGGGTTCGAACCCAAGGCCTTCCAGCATGCTAGGTAATCATTCTACCACTGAGCTACACACCCAGCTTGTTAATTTCTAAATGAAAAGATTCCACTTTGTTATATATATTTTTGCCATTTCCATGTTAGAAAAAAGTTAAACAGTAATAATAAAAAATTGCCTGAATATACAATATAAAATTCTTCTGTATTTCCCATTTTAATGGTGAGGCCACTCAAAATATATTCTCAGAAAACCAGATTAGCCTTGTTTTATATTAAAGCAATTATCAATATTACTAATTTTTGGTAGGAAAAAACAGGATGAAAACACAACCAAGTATTTGAGGTCTCATTAAATTAGACAAGGGGAATTAGATAAGGTAAATTTGTTTCTCAGCAATATTAACATGGTTAAGAAACAAGAATATGTTTCTTACTCATGTTAACAGACATCCAGTTCTAAGTTCTGCAATTCTAAGATCCAGTTCAATTTTGATTCTGTATGACCTTATCCAGACTGTTTAATCTCTCAGTCATATTATCGATAAATGGGATATATAATACTGATATCAATACCATTTCTGAGTTATTGGGTTCAAATGAATATTATAGATCAGAGTGCTTCAAAACTTCCTAAAGCTTTACAAATGTTCACAGGATCAGAAGGGGATCAATAAATTTCAAACACTAATATTCTTCAGGGAACCAAACAGTTTTCTAGTAAGTGGTATACACACAGCTGACAACTGTTTTCTAGTAAGTGGTATACACTCTCTGACAACAAATTACATAACAAAGATCCATCACCTTAAATTTAGCTCAAAATTCCATTTTATCAATAATCTAAAATGTATTTGTAGGCAACACTAACCAAAGGAATTCTATTAAAACAGAACCTTAAAATTACAGAACTATACCTTGACTGGTGGTGTAGAACATGGAGAAGGAGTCATCACACAGGTTTCCTGACTATTATAAGAAGGGCTATCAGTCAGGTTCAGATAGAGCTCATCTTCATTGGTGAAGTGTCCTTGATTGTCCACTCCTGGAGAGATGCAGATTACTATGGCACTGGTGTTATCTGCCCGAAGCATACGCTGCCTCCAGCGGCCTAGTGCCCGATTCACAAGCATTTTGGCACAAGATTGTCCAGGCTCACCCTGTATTAAAATTAAAAAAAAAAAAAAACAAGAAAAGAACATTAACTCACATTTAGTTGCCACTAAATATGTATCAAATTAAAAAATGGGTATTCAATGTGACCTAAGTAAATAAAGCTCCCAAATTTTCAAACATTATCCATAATTCCCATAGCTATTTTGAAGTAGTATTTCTTTTTTTTTTTTTAATTTTTTTTTTTTTAAAGAGAATTTTTTTAATGTTTATTTTTTAGTTTTCGGCGGACACAACATCTTTGTTTGTATGTGGTGCTGAGGATCAAACCCGGGCCGCACGCATGCCAGGCGAGCACGCTACCGCTTGAGCCACATCCCCAGCCCTTGAAGTAGTATTTCTAAATTAAAAAAAAAAAATAACAAAGACCTAATTTCTTTAGAAGAGCTCCTACAAATAAAAAATGATGACCTAACATACAAATTATTAAAGAAAATTGATAAGGAAACATAAACAGCTCTCTCTCTAAATGTAGATATATAAAAGGTCAGTGTCGTTCCTAAAAGGAAAAAAGTATTAAAATTAGTTCCAGTATACAGAGAAAATAAATGCCAACAAAAAGAAAAGAATCTCATGTTATATAAATAAATATGCCCTGAAATAAAAGAACACCATGTATGAATTCAAAACTTGCTAAATTTTCAGCTGGAGACATGACTCAGTGATAGAGCAAGTAGCTAGCTTGCATATAACCCTGGGTTTAAGCCCTATCATTGCAAACAACAAACAAACCAAAACAATTACTAAAAGTTTTGGGGATGTAGCTCAATGATACAACATGTATTTAACATGCACCAGGCCCTGGGTTCATACCAAGCACCAAAAGAAAAAAATTTTTTTTTCTTCTAAGTTTCAAAGAATAGAAATGAAAATGTGTTCCAAAAATAGTGCTAAATGTCTTAAATTGTTATGTGGAAACTTTAAAAATTAGTATATTGTTTTATGTGATAAAAAAATAATGTAAATACAAAACTATTAATGCACTATAACATACTACGATGCACATTATATATGATATAAATTTATTAGAGCACTACTAGCACTATATAAATTCATTTATAATTAACTGTATGCAGAGTACAGTGATTCATCTGGATGTCTTCTATCTCTGAAGTTTATATATTCAAATAGGATAAAGAGCTGAATTTTCTTCATCTTCTCCTTGGGAAAAAAGGAAATCATCTTCATTTGGGATTATTCATCTTGGATGCATTCCTACAACACACACACATGGCAAATAACTCCGCTTAGCTACTTTGTTTAAAATTTTAATATTGAGGATGCAGTGTAGCTCGGGGTACAGCACTTGTGAAAGGCCCTGAGCTAGATCACCACCACTGGAAAAGACACACACACACACACACACACACACACACACACACAGCCATCCATCCTTACATTCCCAAGACAAGTCTGACTTTTTCATATACATATTTTTTTACCACTACCTTTCCCCCTCTTTCTTATACCTTCTTTGTCCAGTTTATAATCAAGATTTACTAGTGTCATAAAATACAGGTACTAATAAAATTACAGCTTGAGAAGTCTTCTTAGTCTTATATTTTCTGAAGCTGTTTATAATACAGGAATTTATCTAATGCTACAAGTGCTTGTTGCCATTTGTATAGTGTCTGTTTTGGTAGATACATTTTAAAACCAATGAAATTGATTTCATGGTTACAACTGATGCATACATTAAAACTTTAATAAAAATTCCTTCATGAGTTAATTTGCCCTTTTTTAGATAATAATTTTTTTCAAATTTATTTGCATAAAGTTGTTTTAGAATTGTGGGTTTTTTCTTTTTAAATCTTTTTTTTTCTTTTCTTTTTTGGTACTGGGGATTGAAGCCAGAGGTGATTTACCACTAAGCTACATCCCCAGTCCTTTTTAAACAGTATTTTTAAACAGTATTTTTAAACAGTATCTTGCTAAGTTGCTGAGGCTGGCCTTGAATTTGTGATCCTCCTGCTTCGGTCTCTAGAGTAGCTGAGATTAACAGGCATGTGCCATCACACTTGGCTAGAGATATTTATAAGTGGAATTATGTCCACTCAAACTTCTTCTGCATTTCTGCTTGTTCTAAGAATATCAATCATACCTCATTTGTCTTTTTAAAAGAACAATCTCCCCGTACCCAATTTTGTGAATCTCTAGATCATTAATTTCTGTTCTTTACTATTTTCATTCTCCTATTTGGAGACTTTACCCTGATGTTCTTTTAAGAAGCTGCTCTTTTTTACTTTTTAAATATTTTTTTGGTTGTCGATGGACCTTTATTTACTTACATGCAGTGCTGAGAACAAACCCAGTGCCTCACACATGCTAGGCAAGTGCTCTACCACTTAGTTACAGCTGCAGCCCCTGATGTTCTTTTTATATGGCTTTCTGACTGGATCACTGAGATCAAAAGCATCCTAATTTCTTTATTTTATTTTTTTAAGAGATAGAGAGAATTATTAATATTTATTTTTTTAGTTCTTGGCGGACACAAGATCTTTGTTTGTATGTGGTGCTGAGGATCGAACCCGGGCCGCATGCATGCCAGGCCAGCGCGCTACCGCTTGAGCCACATCCCCAGCTCCAATATTTTTATTTTTTATTTTTATGTGGTGCTGAGGATCGAACCCAGGGCCTTATGCATGCTATCCTAATTTCAAAGATGTTAAAAGGTGAAAAAATATGCACCTCATAATTGAGGAAAGGCAGCATTAACCTCTACTACATGAATCTATTACATTACCTAGAACATATCACTTTCCAGACACTAGCTTAGGACTCACTGTTTCAGTATGCCTGTTTCTCTTCCCACATTATTAGTGAAAAAATAAATTCACATTAAGCTATTTTCACTACCATACCTACATTTTTGCTTCAGCTCACTATAATTCTGCAGATTTAGATCCCCTTATATTTTGTCCTTTTCAACTTTACAGTCTTGCTAAGTGATCTCATATAGTGTCAATGATCTTCTGAACTCACTAATTATTTCCAGGCTTCACTCTCAAATATGAGTAACTGCCTACTAATACTATCTATCTAGATGAACCATAGGTACCTCCAAGTCAATACATCTACATATGAAATATACACTTCCCTTCAAGTAAAATAATGTGCTGCTCCTTAAAAATACCTCTACCAGGGTCAGAAAGTTGGATGTTATCACTTTTTCCTTCTTATAAGCCCAAATTCCATCACAATTCTATCACTCATGAATTTCTTCTGTTTTCTTTCTTCTTCTTCTTCTTCTTTTTTTTTTTTTTTTTTTTTTAACATTGTTGCCTTAGATTAAATTTGCAAGTTTTCCTATTTGGAATATAACATTAGCCCCTAAAAGGAAGTCTAATATACCCATTAATAAAAGTTTCATTACACTAGCAACAAGAAAAGAATATGAAGAGAGCTGGATATCTGATTATATAACTATTCACCTTCTCTTAGGGATCCTTCACTAATCATTACTACCACCCATTCTCTTTCAATGCCAAACTTGTACCTGTTTGATTGTATTATTAAGCTAGATATTCTTCCTGTGCTTCGTAAGTAACAGATAGGCTCATATCCATTATTGTTTACCTTCTATTTTAGTTTCAAGTGTTTAATGAGCAAACTATCTAAAATCAGCTTTCCAATAACTCTCTACTGCCTGACTATAAACATTTAAGTCCATAACAGACCAACCCAAACCTTTTTGCCTCATCTCCTTTTGCTTCCAAGGCACACTAAGCTACTTGTGAAACCTGAAACCTGTGTCATATTCACCTCTTATTTCTGGATTTATACATGGTATTTCCTTTGCATGGTAAGCTTCTTTCTTCTCCCTTGTTCTATTACCTGGAAAATTCACCCCATCATTAAGACTTGTTCAAATATCACTCTCTTCCAGAAATACAGTCTCCGCGAGTTTCCTGTCTTTCTCTATTTCCCAGTTCTTATAGACTTGTAATTATTGTCATATGGATGTTTCCTGCAATACTCATTCTGGAAACTGTTTGGCAGACTACAAAACTGGCTTTTGTCTTTGTCATGTCATGCAAGTATCTCTGAGATCATTAAAGAGTTCTGAATTACAAAAAAAAAAAAAAAAAAAGATTTCTAAATCTAGACAGGCACAGAAGCACATTCCTTTAATCCCAGTTACTCTGGAAGCTAAGGTACAAGGATCCCAAGTTCAGAGAGGTCACCTTGGGCAACTTGGCCAGATGCTATCTCAAAACAAACCAACAAAAACTGAGAAGTATGCCCAGTGGTATAGCACTGCCTAGCATGTGTAAGGCCCTGGATTCAACCCCTAACACCACCCATGCCACAAATCTATAATCTATTAGATAAAATAATTTTCATATTATCAAATCTTCTTTGATATTTGACAATGTAACACATTAAGTCTTAAGACAACAATATGAATTGAGACAACTCATAGCTTAAAGAACTCACAATCTGAAAAGATTGATATTTATATATTCTATTAGTTGTTTGGGTTGTTTTGGTTTTTTTGGGGGGGTGGGTGGATGCTAAGGAGTGAAGCCAGGCTCTGATGAGCTATATTCCAAGCCTATATATTCTGTTTGTAATAAAAATATTCAGTCCTAGAAAATAAGTATTAAAATTATTGAGTAATTGCTCACCATCAAGTATTTTTTATCCTCTTGGTCCTGGCACATTGAGATGGCATCCTGGGGTGGAATCATATTCCAAAGTCCATCACTCCCCAAGATGATATATCTGTGCTTCTGAGGATCAAGAGTGTGGACACTTGTGTCTGGTTCAGGTGACACCACAAACTCACCACTGAAGAAATCATAGCTCCACAAATCACCTGAGGAAAGAAAGCAGAAGAAATAAGTAGTATTATTTCAAAGCTAATGGTATCAGATCAACAGATTAAAGGAAAAAAATGTACATGTTCATGTCCATAGATACAGAAAAACATTTAATAAAATCAAAATCCACTCATAATTAAAAATTTGCCAGCAAACCAGGAATAAAAGGAAATTCCCTTAACCCGATGATGAGGTGGCACACACTATAATCACAGTGACTTAGAGAGGCAGAAGCATTAAAATTTGGAGGCCAGTGTCTGTAATCTAGTGAGACCCTGTTCCAAAATAAAAAAGAACTGGGATATAGCTCAGTTGTAGAGTATGTGTAGGTTTAATTCTCCGTAGTAAAGGAAGGAAGGAAGGGAAAGAGGGAGGAAGGAAATCTGTAGAAGGAACTGGGGATTTACCTCAGTGGTAGAAGGCTTGCCTGACATATGGTAGGCCTGGGTTCAATCCCCAGCATCTATGAATCTCTCTCTAACTAACCTCACCACACCCCTGCCCTCCACACACATACACACAAACAGAAATCTGCAGCAAATATTTTACTTTTTTTTTTTTTTTTTGGGGGGGGGGGTCTGGGTATTAAGCCCAGCACACTTTACCATTCAGCCACAGTCACAGTCTTTTCTATTTTCTATTTTTAGACTGGGTCCCAGGCTGGCCTGAAAATTGTGGACCTCCTGCTTCAGCCTCCTTAGCTGCTGGAATTACATGCCCACACCGATGTTCTTGGCTCATCTTACTTGAAGGTAGGCTATTGAAAGTATTCCTTTCAAAATGAATAAAAAAGAAAACTATGCCTAGTATTATCATTTCTCTTCCAATATTATACTGGAGTTCCTTCTGAGCACAGTAATATGATAAAAATAAGTAAGTAAATTGAAAAAGTAATGAGCCATCATTATTTATAGAAAATTTCAATTCTAAATGGACCACCAAAAAGAAATTAACTATTATAGTTAACAGGAAAATGTAGAAAGGTTGTTAAATATGAGCCTATATATAGAAATCAACTGTATATACAATGACAATGTAAATTTAAAACAATTCCATTTAAAACATGAACCAAATGTACACACCTAGGAATAAACTTAACAAAAGTTTCAAAAGCAAATTGGTACCAGTAAGAGGTATTTAAGATGAGAGAGCTCTCTGAACAAATTTTTTAAAACCTCACCATGCTTGGTGGTGTACACCTGTAATTCCAGCAGTTGGAGAGACTAAAGCAGGAAGATCACAAGTTCTAGACCAGCCTCAGCAACTTAGCAACAATCTGTCTCAAAATTAAAAAATGAAAAAGACTGCGGATATAGCTCAGTGGCAGAATGCCCCTGGGTTCAAGCCCTAGTACCCTGCCCCCAAAAGAAAATTATAGAGGTGTTTTTTTGTTTGTTTGTTTGGTTTTCTTTTGGTGATATTAGGAATTGAACCAGACCTTTGCACATGCTAGGCAAACATTCTACCACTGAGCTACATCTTCAATCTTTTAAATTTTGTTTTTATTTAGAGACAGAGTGTTACTAAATTGCCCAAGCTGGGCTAGAATTTGGGATTTTCCTTACTCAGCCTCCAAAGTAGGTAGGGAGTATAAGCATGCACCACCAGGCCCAACTTCTGATTCATTCAAATGACAGACTGCATATATTGCATTTGGATTATATGAACTTAAGTGGACTCATTTATTCTAGTAGTTTCCTAGCAAATTCTTTAGGATTTCTTAATGCAACCTTGTCTTTTCTGGATAAAGATGGTTTTAATTTTATGCTGAATCATGAGATTAGATTTCATATTTTACCACTAAATACTAATATTTCAGCATGTATCTCCTAAACATGTGAATGTTTTCCTACATAACCATACTCCAGAATTTAATACTGACACCATATTATATAAGGTAAAGTCCATGTTTAAATTTCCCAGTTGTTCCAATAATGCAATTTTAATATCCAAGATTTACTGAAGAATCATTCATTACATTTAATTGTCAAATTTTTTGCTGTTTTTAACCCAGAAAAGTTCCCTATTTTTGTTTGGTTTTGTCCTTCATGGAATTGACAGATGTAAAGAGTTCAAGTCGTATTAAAGAATGACCCTTTAATTAGACAACTCCTGTTCTAAGGCTGGGGATGTAGCTCAGTGGTAAGAGTACTTGCCTAGGAAGCAAGGCTAAATTTGATACCCAGCACCATGAGCACACACAAAAACAATGCCATATTTTAACAAAACATGCCATATTTTAGGGATGATTCTTGAATCCCCACTTGTTTTTTGTTTTTGTTTTTTTCCCCTTTTCTTTGCAGTACTGGGGATTGAACTCAGGGATACTCCACCACTGAGTTACTCTACCCAGTCTTTTTAAAATTTTTTATTTTGAGACAGGGTCTCACTAAGTTGCTGAGACTGGCCTCAAGCTTACAATCCTTCTGCCTTAACCTCCCAAACTGTTGGGATTGCAAGCATGCACCACTACACCCAACTTACATGGCTTTATCTAAGATCAAATAAGTAGTAGGGGTCAGAAATGGGCCTTTAAATAAAAGTTTTGGTGAAGGTTTGCTCACCAAAACAAAATCACAGAATGTCATTTCCTTAGGTCCTAAAGGAAGGAAACTTAGACATTGGCAGACATGGTTGTTGACTGCTAGCTGGTCATTTCCCCTTTTTACTCCATAGAGGGCGCTGAAGAGACACCAGAAGAGAGGAGGCCCTGTCCTGATTCTAAGGAACCCTCATTTGCTTGTTCCTGTGGCACCTGTCCTGTCCACAGGATAACCAGAAAATTTCTATACCCCCTCATCTATAGGTGATTTCCATGGAATTTCCCAACAACTTTTGCCTCCTCTAATCCATACTCAAACTACAACCAAATCATCTCTTTAAAACACAAATCTAGCCAGGTGTGGTACTGTATGCCTATAATTCCCGTAACCTAGGAGGATAAGGCAGCAGGATCACAAGTTCAAGCTAGTCTCAGCAATTTAGCAAGGACCTAAGCAACTTATGTCTCAAAACATAAAAAGGACTAGGGATGTAGTGCCATGGTAGAATGCCCCTGGGTTCAATTCTCAGTACCAAAAAAAAAAAAAAAAAAACGTTAAACATAAGACAGTTTGCTGTGTTAACCATGCAGCAGCTTCATATACCTTGTTTATTGCATCTCAATTCCATCAAGAGGCTGCATCGTGTGACTGACCTATACCATCTAAGTTTATGTAAGTACACTCTAACACTTGTACAACAATGAAATAACCTAAGGACACTTTGTGTGTGTGTGTGTGTGTGTGTGTAGTCTAAGGATTGAACCGAGGGGCACTTAACCACTGAGCCACATCCTCAGCTCTTCTCATTTTTTATTTTGAGATAGGGCCTCACTAAGGTGTTTAGGGCCTTGACTAGTTGCTGAGGCTGGCTTTGCACTTGTAATACTCCTGCTTCAGCCTCCCAAGACACTGGGATTATAGGTGTGCGCCACCATTCACGGCCTACATTTTGCAGAACATATCTCCAACTTTTAGCAGCACATGACTGTATAATAAAGGACCTTAAATTAGCACTTTCACCTAGAAGACCAGAGAAACATGTTAACCGATTTTGAATATGTAAATGACTATCATGCAACAGATAAAGTACACTGCTCTGTTTTTGTTTTAGCATACAAAACTAGGGCTGATATCTGAAAGAATCATGGAGGCAAATTTTTAACTCACAATAAAATAACAATTAGATCAGTTGGATAATGTAAATCTGTGCTTTGTAAGTAAAGATTACTGGGGCTGGAGAAGAGTATCACTGGACTGAGCAGGACTATCTGAACCAGAAAAACCAGCTGATTTTTCTGCTACCTCTCTATCAGTCCCTCTTATTTTTCTTCTACATAATCACTTACGGGTTTCAAAACTTGCTTAAAATGCTTGGCACACTCACACACATAGACAAAATAACTTGACATCTACTTTGGTTCACCTTACCTAGAGTAAGATCCTGCCCTCAGTTCAATGAGTTCCCTGTTTAAAAACAAACAAACAAAAAACCCTCAGCCGCACGTGATGGCACATGGCTGTAATACCAGATACTGGGAGATTGATGCAGGAGGATCTCAAATTTGAGACCAGCTCAGCAACTTAGTGAGGCCCTATCTCAAAATAGAATTAAAAGGGTTGGGGATATGGCTTAGTGGTAAAGCACCTTCAAGGCACTAGGTTCAATCCCCACAAACCACAAAATGGAAACAAAACCTTCCACTATCTATTTATTTATTTGGTACTGGGGATTGAACCCAGCAACACTTTACCACTGAGTTTTATCCCCAGTCCTTTGATTTTTATTTTTTGAGATCAAGTCTCGCTAAGTTGCTTAAGGCCTTGCTAAATTGCTGAGGCTGGCCTTGAACTTGAGATTCTCCTGCCTCAACCTCATACATCGCTGGGATTACAAGAATGTGCTATGCACTAGCCCCTCTGGTCAATTCTTTGCCTCTCATGCCCTGTTTTTTGTTGTTGTTTTGTTTGTTTGTTTCTAGTATTGAACCCAGGGATGCTTTACCACTGAGCTACATCCCAGTCCTTTTCTTTTATTTTTTATTTTGAGACAGCATCTCACTAAATTCCAAGACTGGCCTCAGACTCCTGAGTTTCTGGGATTACAGGCATGTGCCACCATGCCCAGTCATGCCCCCATTTTCAATGCTCACTAATGATACAAATGATGGTAATCAACCAAACTTACCTTCTAACCTGAAATGTAAGCAGCAGCTAATTATCATCTTCTCCCCTTCTTTTTCCTTGCTAACACTGGAAGATTAATAGTATTACATGCTTATACTATGAATGACCTCAATAACTTATTCTTCTAGTTCTGAAAAAAAATCTATAAAATATATAAAGTACCTAGAGTATTACAATAGGCTTCTGAATGATATATCTTTGCCTCCACTTTGATCTCCCTAAAATAGCTAAAATGATTGTCAAAAACAAACTGAATCATGTCACTGACCCAATTCAATAAATAACAATAAAAACAACTAACATTTATAGAGTACTATGTGCCAATCTTAAAACACTTCACATTACTTCACCCAATAATCACAACAGTATGAGACAAATACTTGTTATAGTTTGAATGTGCCCCCTCCAGAACTAATTTGAACTTTAATTGCCCTTATCACTATATGAAGAGGTGGGATCTTTAAGAGGAGACTAGGATATGGAGTTCCATCCCTTACTTGGTGCCTTTAGAAAGGTGAGCTTAGCCTTCTCTTGCTCGCTCATCTTTTTGCTTCCTCCATGTGATGAGGCATTAAGGACCTCACCAGATACCAGCATCTTGATATTGAACTTCCTAAACTCCAAAATGTGAGCCATAAACTTCTATTTATTATAAAGTACCCAGTCTTCTGTCACAGCAATGCAAAACAGATGGAGACAATACCATTTATTAGGCCCCCCAAAAAAGATATGTCACAAAATGTAAGTAATTTGGGGCTGGGGTTGTGGCTCAGTGGTAGAGCACTTGCCTGGCATATGTGAGGCACTGGGTTCGATTCTCAGCACTACATATAAATAAATGAATAAAATAAAGGTCCATCAACAACTAGAAAATACATATTTAAAAAATTGTAAGTAATTTGCCCAAGTTTGCACAATAAATAACAATATTGAGATGGAAAACTAGGCATTTTGGCTTTAAAGTCCATCTTTTTCCCACTACGGTATACTTCCTCTCCTATTTTTGTCTCGTCTCTGTGTGTGTGATGCGTGGGATCAAACAACGGCTTCATGTATGCTAAGAAAATTGCTGAGCTACACACAAAAGCATTTCTTTCTTTTTTTTTTTTTCTCCCCTTTCTCCTGTCTCCAACTCCCCACTTCCTCCTCCCTCTATTTCTTCAATGGAAGACCCACTATGTTGCCAAGGCTGGTCTTAAGCTTGCGGGCTCAAGCAATCTTCTGCCTCAGCCTCCCAAGTAGCTAGAATTACAGGCATGCACCACCACATCCAATTTTTTAAACTTTTATTTTTATTTTTTGCAGTATTGGAGGTTGAACCCATGGTGCTCTAACACTGAGCTATGTTCTTAGCCCTTTTTAAATTTTTTTAATTTTGAGACAGGTTCTTGCTAAGGCTGGCCTCAAACTTGAGATCCTCATGCTTCAGCCTCCTGAGTCACTGAGATTATAGACATGTGCCACACTACACTTGGCCTATTTCTTTAAAATATTTTGTTCTTACTATATTTGATAGTCTAGAATAGAGAATCTGATTGGTCTACATGGAATCATATGCTCCTCTTATATATTTTATTAAAAGACCTTGAAAATGAATATTTAAGACTTCACATAGCACAATAGATATGATTTCCCAAAAGGAAATTATTTAAAATGAAGCAAGAATATATACTGGATACCCCCCGCCTTTGCAAATCAAATGTCCACTAGCCATCTATGTGCCCTGGCAAAGCTTTGGCTCTGTTTGCTATTTTCCTTTGCCCCTTTCCCTCCTTGAGATCCTACTTAAATATCACCTCCTTAACGAAGTTTCCTTAATTAGTCCTTCCTAAAGTAGATCTCTCCTAATACCCAATATCCCTCCCATCAACTACTGGCACACCACTTGTTTAATTCCTTTAAAGATGACATCTTTTAGAATGATTTTCTCATTTGTTTATTATCTATTCCCCCAACTAGGATATAGACTCCATTAAGAACAGGACTATATGCCTTTGATCATCAAAGATCAATAAGAGATTGTATATGGTAGGTATGATGCTCATTTTAAAAGGCAGATCAGGTATTCTTATTCCTTAACTTACATCCTACAATGCTTCCCACTGCAATGAAACCAGAATGTAAGTTTCTACTATGATATGGCCCATGTTCACGTCACCATCTTCAGTCTTCTGACATTCCTAGTACATGTTGAGTCATTTTGCATTTCAGGATCCTTGCCTAGAATATTCTTCCACGGGTTCTTCACAAGACTAGCTCCTTCTTCGTCCTTCAAATCTCAATTTAAAAAGTAGCATCTCCACCACAACACTATCTAAAACAGTTTTCCCTTCTTATTTATTTATTTATTTATTTATTTATTTATTTTGAGAGAGAGAGAGAGAATTTTTAATATTATTTTTTTAGTTTTCGGCGGACACAACATCTTTGTTTGTATATGGTGCTGAGGATCGAACAAGGGCCGCACGCATGCCAAGCGAGCGCGCTACCACTTGAGCCACATCCCCAGCCCTAAATTATTATTTATCACAGCACACTGTTTACTTCTTTCATGATATTTCCTAAACTGTAATTACTTCACTTATAAACTTACTTCCTTATTGCCTATCTCCTCAATTACATGGCTTTACTCCATGAGGACAGAAAGTACATCTGCATTATACTTTCTAAGCCCAACATAATGCCTAGCGCCAAGTTGGTATTCAAATATCTATTAGAAGGAAAAAGAAGAGAAGGAACAATTTGGTGTTTTCTTAGAGATATTGAAACTACCCCCATCTAGCAGAGTCAATGCAAGATATTAAAATAGCTATGGTGCTCTAGCCTGCCTTCCAAAGCCACGTAGACTAGACAAGAACCATTTTATTTTGTCATGGACAATTTATTTTGCTAGCCAAAGAAAAAAACAGCCTTGAAGATTCTTAGGAATATTAAGGGCTGAAGTAGGAAAGGACATTTAAAAATAGTTTTAAGGGTAACATTAAGCCTAGGCATAATATATGTCCCTAAGTATAGATGGAAGTAGCAAAACACTGATTATGACTCATGACTAAAGAACAACTAGCATTAAAATATATACCTTCACTTTTTCTTCAATCAGGTTTTAAATCATTAACATCATCATATCTCTATCCTCATAATGTGCCAACTAAGAGATTAGATTAGCTCTGTGTCCCCTTCTATTTTATCATCATATATTGTAAAAATCTAACATGATTTTACCAAAAGTAAGTCCTACTTACCAAGTGCTCTTGCTACTGCCAGAAAGGGAATCTGGTCAATAACTGTGCTCCTTCTAACAGGTCCATTGTGAGTGAGCCGAGGTCTTTTCCAAACTACACGGTTCACCCCAGACTTGTTCATGACACTAAAAAACAAAGTTCACATGAATTCTCTAAATGATTAAAAGATAACACCTAAGATAGCTCAACATGTCATATAACTAATGAAAGTAAGATTATATTATCATAAAATAATGATTTATCTGTTTCAGATACAAAGACACATAAGCCAAAGCTGCTCTTCAATGATGAAAGACAAAATAGGATAAGATTACATGAGGAAAATTTGGAACTGATTGAAATAGACCAGAAAAAAAAAACAAATAAAATAATGTGGAGCAAAAGTGAAAATATATAGTAAGAGTCAAAAAAGAAAAATGAGATAAAGAAAAAAGGAAAATAATGAAAAAGTAAACAAGATCAACTAAAAAAAATAACAAAAAAAAGAAAGAATGTGAAGAAAAATTGATAACTATCACATCCCAGAAAAATGCAAGATTCAAATAATTGGGGAGATAGGAGTTTCTAGCCAGGCATGGTGGTAAACACCTGTGATCCAGCAACTTGAGAAGACAAGAAGAACACAAGTTCAGGATCCACACCTCAGCAACTTAGCAGGACCCTAGGCAATTTAGCAAGAGCCTGTTTCAAAATAAAAAATAAATATGGCTGCAGGGGCTGGGATTGTGGTTCAGTGGTAGAGCACTTGCCTAGCACATGTGAGGCACTGGGTTTGATCCTCAGCACCACATGAAAATAAAAATAAAAATAAAAGAATTATGTTAACATAGAACAGAAATTCCAAAAAAGTCACTCATTTACCATCCTTTTTGAGAACTCTCAGTTCTGAAAGCAACATCTAACATCATAACAAGAGATAGACTATCAAGGAAAATTGTTTTGTTACTATGCTTTCTTCAGTGCTGATCCTCAGAAAGGAAACAGAGAGTTAAGTGAACTGGCCATTCACAAGACTCTATGAAACATGAGTTAAGACTCTACCAAAGAAAAATTACACTGAGAAGAGATGTCGATATTCTGCCTGCATATCATCATAAAGCCCTATAGTTCCTTCCTAAATCTGTTCTCTAAAAGGTAAAGCTTAATACTTAAGTCATTTCAATATAGCTATTTACAAGAGTTCTTTTGATACTTAATAGTCAAAGATATTATGGTCTCTATGTTTCTAAGGAGCAAGAAGAATCTATAATGGTACTGATTAAACATAAAAATTTTAAATTCAGTATCAACAAAACAAAGCAATGTTAGAAAAGATGCTACTTTTATTACACTCCCTGCTATTGTCCTGTATGATTAAAAGGCACATAAAAAGGAACAGCCTGACATGCAGAGAGCTGACTGAGCAGTAACAGAAGGCAGAAAAACAGAGTACTGGCCAATTGGCTAGGTTGGGATAGAGGGAAGTAAGGAAATAACTTATCATAAAATGGCTCAATTTTTGCAGAAAGACACCTGCTCACAAAGAGCATCTCTCCAACAGTCCAGATGGTATTTTAGTGATAAAGCAAAAAATAAAAACTTTTAAAAAATGTAATTAAAATAAAAGAAAATATAACATTAAAAACTCGAGTTAAAAAGTAAAAGAATTAATAGCTAAAAATGTTTTTTTCAAAAGATTAAGAAGGATCAGGCCTAAATATTGCAGAACCCAAATATTTCAGGAAATCTATTTATAAATGCAAAGCCCACTTCTCATAACTACCAGTAAAGGTCTCAAGATATTAGACTGATCTTCACACTCATAGGATTAAATAAACTAGAGCCAAAAAATTGGTGTATTTACATTGCAGGATAAAGTACGCCCGCATGGCAGCTTCAAGGATACTATCTTTAGAAACGACCCTTAAAGGACATCATAGATGAGACCATCTCCTACTTGAGCTTTATTTACCTCAATTACAAGCATTTCTTATTTAAAAATATATATATATCCAGAAGCCATTTTCTAATTCCCCAAATGACAGTGCAGTTGTAAGGAAACAAGGCCACATGGTCTAGTTTAGACTAATTCCTTTAGCACATAAAATTTATACTACCAATGGCCCATGATTATACTTGACCAATATCATTCCTCAGTATTTTCCCTTTCCTAGAGACAGGATCTCACTGAATTGCTTAGGGCCTTGCTAAGTTGCTGAGGCTGACTTTGGACTTGTGATCCTCCTGCCTCAGCCTCCCGAGCTGCGGAGATTATAGCTCCACTATGCTAGACAAGTCAAACTCCATACTTTTAAGGAACTCCAGGTCTGTGCTTAGAAAGAAATTTAGCCAGGCAGCACACACCTGTAATCCCAATAGCAAAGGAAGCTGAGGCAGGAGGATTTCAAATTTAAGGCCAGACTCAGCAACTAAGAAAGGCCATAAGCACTTAGTGAAATCCTGTCTTGAAACTCAAAAAATGGGGGCTGGGATGTGGCTCAAGCAGCAGCGCGCTCGCCTGGCATGCACGGGGCGCTGGGTTTGATCCTCAGCACCACATAAAAATAAAATAAAGATGTGTCCACTGAAAACTAAAAAATAAATATTAAAAAATTTCTCTTTCTCTCTCTCTCTCTTTAAAAAAAAAAAATGGTTGGGGCCATAGCTCAGTAGTCAAGAACTCCTAGATTCAATCCCTCATAACAAAAAAAAAAAAGAGAGAGAAAGCAAGCGAGAGAAAGTTATGGTCTATTCAACGTGTTCTCTACCCATATGCAGTTCCATTAAAGGGTTATTCTAGGCCAAGCACACACAGCACATGCCTGTAATCCCAGCAACTTGGAAAGCTGAAGCAGGAGGATCACAAGTTTGAGGCCAGCACGGTCAACTTAGCAAGACCTTGTCTCAAAATAAAATTTTAAAAAGGAGACAGGTGAAGGTATCCATACCTGTAATACCAACTGCTGAAGAGGCCAGGGATATAGTTCAGCGGTAAAGCACCCTGGATTCTATACCCAGAAACAAAAGGAAAAGTGCACACCAACCTTGATAATAAATGTTTTAATCTGTTCTTGTGTCTACCAAATAGTAAACAAAGTGTCTAACATAAAAAAGATCTCCCAGCTGGGAATGGTGATGCATACTTACAATCCCAGCAGCTCAAGAAGCTGAGGCAGGAGGATCACATGTTCAAGACCACCCTCAGCAATATAGTGACATCCTATCTCCAAAATAAAAAATAAAAAGAACTAGAGATGTGGCTCAGGGGTTGAGTACCCCTGGGTTCGATTCCTTGGTACGAACAAACAACAACAACAAAAGCATCAAACAAACAAATGGAAGGGAGTTCAGAAGAGGAAAGGTATGGGAGAGGGAAGATGGGAGGGAAAGGGGAAAATACTGGAGAATGATATTGGTCAAATTATATTTTGATATTGTACACATATGGATATGTAACAAATCTCACTATTATGTACAAATATAATGCACCAATTAAAAATTGGAAAGAAAAAAAAAACTACCACTTCTAAGTTTGGGGATAATGTCAAAGAATACATAGAGACGTTATTAAAAGACTCCTTCCCTTTCAAGCTATATCTATGTAAAACCAGATTCACTTCAGGTATTGCAAACAAAATAACATATCATAACAGACTGAATACAGAAGATAAGAGACTCTTGGGCTAGGGTTGTAGCTCAGGGGTAGAGAGTTTGCCTGCCACATGCAAGGCCCTGGGTTCCATCCTTACTGCCATATAAAACCAAATTAATAAAATAAAGGTATTGTGTCCAACTACAACTAAAAAATTAAAAGAAAAGAAATATCCCAGGAACATCACCAAAAGAAAATTTGGAAACAATGTTTAAAACTCACATCACATCACATGTAATATATTAATTGTTCTTCTTTGTCCAGATTCTGAGGGTCATGCTGATCAGCATTTAAGTGAAAGATTTTCAATAAATCCTTGCATGTATTATTACTTACAGTACACTGAAATATTTCCCTTTTGGAGCCACTATTTCAAATTAAAAAGTCAATTCAAAATAATATCGGGGCTGGGGATGTGGCTCAAGTGGTAGCGCGCTCGCCTGGCGTGCGTGCGGCCCGGGTTCGATCCTCAGCACCACATACAAACAAAGATGTTGTGTCCGCCTAAAACTAAAATAAATAAATAAATAATTAAAAAATAATAATAATAATAGATAGCTGGGCATGGTGGAGCTATAATCCCCGCAGCTAGGGAGGCTGAGGCAGGAGGATCACAAGTCCAAAGTCAGCCTCAGCAACTTAGCAAGGCCCTAAGCAATTCAGTGAGACCCTGTCTCTAAATAAAATACAAAAAGAGCTGAGGATGTGATTCAATGGTTGAGTTCAATCCCTGATACCAAAACAAACAAACAATTAACAAAACAAAAAAAGATAAATGAGTTCACATGGAATTTTTGCATTAGGCAATCTAAAAAATAACCTAAAATTCTAAGGAACTGATTTAATTAAAAGGGAGAAACAGATAAACAAAACCAAGAGAAAATAGACAAAACAGCAGAATAATTACCTGCCACCAAGTCCTTCAATTCGTTCTCTTTCCTTGGGAAGTTCTGGCTTATGATCCTGTGTCACCTCCACAGCTCTGATAAAATCATCCTTCGGGTCATCTTGAATTCCAAGGACCACCCCAGAATCACCCACGTGAGCTACATACATCTTCATGCCCCGTATGATGACCACACTGGCAGTTGTCCCAGATGTGCTAGGAAGACCTGTCATAGTCTTCGGCCATTCTGCTGTAATAAGAAAAAAAAATTAATTATTTTTCCAGGTATAAACATGAATACATTGTCAGAATACAAATAGCAACATACCATGAACTAGCATGTTAACATTGGAATTAGCATAGGAAAAAATGTAAGAAAATTATTTTGAAAGCTACTCAAGGATTTATATTTATTATTAATTAATTTATTTATTAATTGATACACTGATAAAAATTTATAAACAATGTAACTAAAATAAAACAATCAAATCAATCCTAGAAGAAATACATTAGAGGATAGACTATTTCTATTTAATTTTTAATCCTAACTACATTTAGAGAAAAGAATATATTGTTTTGTTTTTTGTAGTATTAGAGACTAACCCAGGGCTTTGTACATGCTAGGCAAGTGCTTTACCACTAAGCTAAACCCCAGCTCTGTTAACAGTTTTGATACCATCAAGCCAGCCACTTTGCATCTGTTTATTAATCTTGAAAGGTCCCCACTAAGCTACACCCCACTCACAGAAGGGAACTACATGGAGTATATGAAATAGTGACATTCTCAATTGCTCGGGGAAACCAAACTTATACCATCTGACATTCTCAACTCTGAAATATTCTCTAATACTAAATGACAACTTGTAGTTCATGATGGCAGACTGAGTCTAAACACATGATCTCCACACCAGAATCCTACTAAGGGCAGACTGTAAGAAAAAAATCCATATTCATAAAACATAGGGAAAGATCATAAGCAAATACAAGTGATAACAAATACAAACTTATCTTATGCTAAGTGATAAATCAGAATGCAATCTTGTAATCAAATATAAGCAAGAAAAGCCAGTAAACAAGGAAACAAAATTTTTTTCCCCTGTCAATGAGTCCCAGTAAAGTTTTTAAAAGGCTGAGAATAAGAATGGGTAATAAGGGGCTGGGGATGTGGCTCAAGTGGTAGCGCGCTCGCCTGGCATGCGTGCAGCCCGGGTTCAATCCTCAGCACCACATACAAAGATGTGTCCGCCGAAAACTAACTAAATAAATATTAAAAAATTCTCTCTCACTTTTTCTCTCACTCTCTCTTTAAAAAAAAAAAAAAAAAAAAAAAGAAGAATGGGTAATAAAGAGGTTGGTGGATTAATACTGTAACTGCAGGAGCTAGATCAGTACCAAAACTTTCTGCAAAGCAAAATAAAACATTTTAGTCCCTGAAGTGCCATTAACTGTAACTTCTATCTATCTTTTCTTTCTTTTTTTTGTTAAATAATATCTCTCTTTTAAGAAAAGTGGTAAATCTCTTAGTCTAACAGGTTCTCAAAAAGAACTAGAAGAAGAGAAAGGGCCTTAAAAAAAAAAATTGGGCAGAATACACAGACAACTTTCATAGTCACTAAGAAGATTCTTCTAATCATACAACTAATTTACTTTTCTCTCTCCCTCTGGTGGTACTAGGGATTGAAACCAGGACCTATGCATACTAGGCAAATACTCTACCATTGAGCTACACCCCTAGCCATTTTTATTTTATTTTATTTTGAGACAAAACTTACTAAATTGCCCATTCTAATCTCAAACTTGAAATCTCCCAGTCTCCTAAGTAGCTGGGATTACAGATATACACCACCATATCTGACTTCATTTTTTCCCCTCCCCAATGTTATATACTCTGAAAATAAACCTTCTGAACCACAAAGCAACTGCATCTCTTCATTCCATCCCCAGACTGAAATTACCCTACAAAATGCCCTGTCACTCACAGAAGGGAACTATGTGGAGTATATGAAATAGAGACATTCTCAATTGCTCAGGGAAACCAGAACAGCTAATATTCAACAAGCTAAAAATTCATTTATATATATACACACGTCATTTTATCTCTGAGTATATTTGGTGCACACCTGTAACCCCAGTGACATGGGAGGTTAAAGCAGAGAGATTGTAATTTCAAGGCCAGCCTTAGCAACTTATTGAAGCCCTGTCTCAAAATAAAAAGAGATGGGGATATGGCTCAGTAGTATAGTGCCACTGGGTTCAATCCCTGATACCAAAGAAAAAGGAAAACTGTCTGCAGATGGCATGATCTTATATATAGAAAATCTAAAGACTCCACAAAAAGACCTTACACATTCTATAAAATTGCAGGATACAAAATCAACATATAAAAATAATTGCATTTCTAGGACTGGGTGTAGAGAGAGATCAGTGGTATAGCACTTGCCTAGCACACTGGAGGAGCTGGGTTACATCCCCAGCAATATACACACAAAAATATGAAATTAATGAAACAAACTGAAGATTCAAATAAATGGAAAGATAACTCCATGTTCAAGAATTGCAAGAGCATTAGTACCCAAAGTGTTCTACAGATTCAATGCAATACCTATCAAAATTCCACTAGCATTTTCCATAAAAATAGAAAAAAAAATCTTAAAATTCATATGGAACCATAAAAGACCCTAAATAGCCAACAATCTTAAGAATGAATAAAACTAGGGGCATCCCACTTCCAAATTTGAACTATATTACAGTATTAGTAATCAAAATCATATGGTACTGGGGGCTGGGGATGTGGCTCAAGCAGTAGCGCGCTCACCTGGCATGCGTGCGGCCCAGGTTAGATCCTCAGCACCACATACAAAACAAATGTTGTGTCCTCCGAAAAACTAAAAAATTTATATTAAAATTCTCTCTCTCTCTCTCTCTCTTAAAAAAAAAAAAATCATATGGTACTGGTTTAAACCAATGGAGAACAGAAAGTCCAGACATAAACATGCATATACTGTCAACTAATCTTTGACAAGAATTCCAAAAGAGGACAGGATAGTCTCTTTAATAAACAGCATTTGAAAACCTTAATATCCACATGTAAAATAATGAAATTGTCTTACATAATACACAAAAACTAACTGAAAATGTATTATAAAATCAAATGGTAAGACATGAAACTCCTACAAGAAAGCAGGGATAAAAGTTCCTTGACACTGATCTTGGCAATGACTTTATTTTTAGCCATCATATCAAAAGTAAAAAAAAAAAAAAAAGCAGGACTACAAACTAAAAAGTTTCCACACAGCACTGAAAACAGTCAAGGTACAGTGTAGCTCAACAGCAGAGCATTGCTTAACATGCGCAAGGATCCAGCACCAAGGGTTGGGGGAAATCAACAAAATGAAAAGGCAACCATCTTTTTAATATATTTTTAAATTTTCAATGGACCTTTATTTTATTTATTTATATGTGGTGCTGAGACTCAAACCCAGTGCCTCACACCTTAGGTAAGCGCTCTACCACTGAACTACAACCCCAGCCCAGGGCAACCGTTTTGGTCAGCTTTTTCATTGCTGTCATTAAAAGACCTGAAAAGAATAATTTTAGAGAAGGAAAAGTTTATTTGGGGGCTCAGAGTTTTAGAGATCTCAGTCCACAGACAGCCAGCTCCCAGGGCAGGAGGTGAGACAAAACATTATGGCAGATGAGTGTGGCAGAGGGAAGCAGTTCACATGATGGTCAGAAAGCAGAGGAAAACTCTCGCCAGATACAAAATATATACCGCCAGAGGCATGCACCCAGTGCCCATCTCCTCCAGTCACCCTACCCTGCCCTCAGTACCATCCAGTTAATCCCCAAGAGGGGATTAATTCTCTATTGGGTTAAGGCTCTCATAAGGCAAACATTTCATCTCTGAATGTTCTTGCACTGTCTCACACATGAGCTTTGGGAGATACCCAATATCCAAGCAACCTACAAGAGAATATTTGCAAAGCATGTATCTGATAAAGAATTAATATTCAAAATATATAGAAACTTATACAACCCATTTGAGGAAACAAAAACAAACAAAGAAAAAAGCCAATTTAAAAATGGGGAAAGGAGCTGGGATCCTGTAATCCCAGAGGCTCAGGAGGCTAAGGCTGGAAGATCATGAGTTCAAAGCCAACCACAGCAATTTAGGGAGGCCCTAAGGAACTCAGACCCTATCTCTAATAATAAAAACAAAAAAGAAAGAAAAGGCTGGGAATGTGGTTAAGTGCACTGGTTCAATCCCTAGTAACAAAAAACAAAATAAAACAACAAAAAAAAAAGGAGTCTAGTGATATGGCACATGCCTGTAATCCCAGCTACTCAGGAAGCTAAGGCAGTAGGACAAGTTCAAGGCAAGCCTGGGCACCTTAGCAAGATCCTGTCATAAAATAAAAATGATTTTTTAAAATAAAAAATAAGTAGACACATAAAATAAAATAAGGCCGAGGATACAGCTCAGCGGTGTAGCACTTGCCTAGCATGTGCAATGCCCAGTAGTTGTGGGTAGGAAGATGGGTAAATGCATAGACATTTTCCCAAAGCATACAGATAGCCAATAAATAAATAAATTGATGCTCAACATTATTAATAAGGGAAATTCAAATCAAAATCACAATGAGTTATCACTCTACTTTTTGATACTTCCTGTAAGTAACAAGTGTTGGTTGAGAAGGTAAACTGGTACAACCATTATGGAAAAAAGTATAGAGATTAATTAAAAATAAAAATTAAATTAAAAATAGAAATACCACATGACTTAAAAATCCCATTTCTGGAGGCTAGGATTGTGGCTCAGTGATAGAGCACTCGCCAAGCATGGGTGAGGCACTGGGTTCGATCCTCAGCACCACATAAAGATAAATAATTAAAGGTTTTGTGTCCATCTACAACTAAAAAAAATGTTAAAACCAAAAAAAACTCCATTTCTGGGCATATACCCAAGGAAAATAAAATCAGGACCTTAAAAAAAGATCTTTACTTCCATGTTCTATGCAATATTATTCACAATGGTTAAGATATGGAATCAACCTATTTATTTGGCCAATGGATAAAGGAAATATAACATATACCAGCTGTAAATCCCCAACCCAAAACTATGAAATCCAAAATGTTTTATGAGCACCAACAGGCTGCCTCACATAGAAAATTTGATACCTGACCTATGTATTTGATAGGATGTATACAAAAATGCAGGCTCAGCTAGTGTGTATCTTAGCAGAAGAGGAC